AAAATGGAAATAAAGTGTTTGTAAATGGGGAGGGGAAGAGGGGGTGAAGGGAGGGCAGGGAGAAGGGGAAAAATGAGAATCAAGACCTATTATGTAAAGGTACAGAATCCCAATGATGAATGTAACTGTATTGTATACATAGATTGTACCAATAAACTCAATAAAAAGAAAAAAAAAAAGTAACCTGATGTTAACCAGTTATTTTCCTATTCTCTTTCCCTGTACCTGTCTTGTGAGGAAAATAACTTTGGCTAGACCTCTCTTTTCTTGTTGTTCTGCTTTCTTTAGCCATTTGTTGTTGTTGTTGATAAAACCAGCCTTCTCTGCTTGGCTCCTGGAACACTTACTCTATTCTACTGAATCCAGTGTTACCCAATTCTAGAATGAAAAATAAAGCCAGTTAAGATTTTTAAGCTAAACTGTTATGGTGTTGCCCTCATACAGTATTTTTTCTCTGCCCATCTTGTGTTCTCCAGCTGGGATTGTGTGAGACTGGCAAAGCACAGAGAAAAATAGCAGGAAGCTTCTAGCACATGCATTATGTTTGCTCATGGAAGGTCCCAGAGATGAGAAACCCAAACAGGTGGTTAGATCTGGTTGTGCGTCTCTTTAGGCTAAAGAAAGGGAAAGGGGTCAGGGCTTCTGGGGGAAGGGACAAGTTAAGGGAGAGTAACCTAAAAAGCACAGTGAACAGGGGAGGATGGAGTGAGGCTTGTTGTATAGATTTAGGTTGAAACTTCTCCACTGATCGGTTTCTTTTGTTCTACTCTTCCTGGTACTCAAGTAGAGGTAACTGAAAAGAAGTTTCCTTTCAAAAGGAAAGCTTACACCCTACTTTTAGAACTTTTACTTAGTTTGCTGATTCTCAGTAGCCTTTGGCTCAAAAGAATTCCTCTGCCAAATGGGCGCATTATGGAGCAGAAGCATTATGGAGCTGCACATTCTGGCTTCTGTCCTTGAAGGGACAGTGTGAACCGGATATGGGTGACGGTGATCACCCTTTCCCTTTCCTCCCAGAGCACTAATTGGATTTTATGTTTTATTGTTTAGAGTACCAGAAACATTCCTTTTGCTTTTTATATTGTCAAATTATAAAATACAAGTAGTTGCCACAAGGCAGTGGCAACTTTTCTCAGTACTAAAAAAAACAAAAATCCACGTTATCCCAAAGTGTGTTTTCACGTTTTAGTTAACCATAAAGTCACTGGTGATAACTTCTGAGTGACTGAGTTCTTCATAGTTCATATAAAGTAAGACTTTCTGCTGCACTTGCTAATAAAACACTTAAGGTAATTTAAAATTCTTTGAAGATTTGTTTCTAACCAAAAACTGTATTTCATTAGCTACAAAATGTTAACCAAATATGCCCTATGCACCGCGTATGGTGGCTCATGCCTGTAATCACAGCAAACGGGAGGCTGGGGCCGGAGAATTGAGAGTTTGAGGCCAGGCTGTATTGCAGAATAAGACCCTGTCTCCAAGAAAGGAGGCCCTATATTGTGCCTATATTGTATGTTAACATACGTGCTGCCAAAGCAAGCACCCTATATTCTGTATTAAAGCAGAAATGTGCATGTTGAATTCTTGCTTGCCTTTATTTCATAAATATCCATCACAGTTTTATTTGTAAAAAGCCTTACATTTGAGAGGAGTGATTGGACTTGCTTGGGCTCTGCAACCATTGACTGGTTGGAAAACCCAAGCTAATTTCTTTTTTCTTTTTTGGGGTTTTTTGTTGTTGTTGTTGTTGTTTTGTTTTTTTGTTTTTTTGAGACAGGTTCTCCCTATGTAGTTGAGACTGACCTGGAACTCACTGTGTAGCCCAGGCTGGTCTCGAATTCACAGCGATCCTTCCTGACTCAGCCTCCCGAGTGCTGGGATTACAGGCGTGTGCCACCACGCCCGGTCCAAGCTATTTTCTTAAACTGCTATACTGCAAAACAATCTAAAATACCATACGGTTCACCACTGTAAAATGTGTATTTCAGGAACTTTAATGTATCTAGAGTTGTGCATCACCACAATCTAACTTTAAAATCATGCCTCAAAGAAACCCGATGTCCAAGTCATTCTCTCACGCACAACCTGAGCACCCACTGCCTCCATCCCTGTAGGTGCCTCTTCTGGATATTTGGTGTAAATGGAATTAAGTGATATATGGCTGTTAGTTTCCTAGTGCTACCACAACAGGTCACCATACTGAGTGGCTTCAAGCAATGGAGACTTATTCTTACAGTTCTGGATGCCAGAAATCTGAAATCAAGGGATCAGCAAGGTATTTTCCTTCTTGAGGTCTCTGAGGGCAAATCTGTGCCCTAGCCAGTGATGGTGAACCTTCCAGAGCTTTCAGGGGTGCAGAGCTGCAGCACAAGAGCCACGAGTTCACCACCACTGCTAGCCTCTCATGGTTGCCAATAATCCTTGGCATCCCGTGATTAATGGAGTCTCACTTCCTTCTCTGCCTGTCTTCATGTCATGGTCTCCTCTGTATATCTCCACAAGGGCCTCTGAGGAAGAAGCCAGTCAGTGGATTCCAACCCTCCAGTGTGATCTCCACCAATTGCAAGACCCTTTCTTCAAATAAGGCCATGTTCTTAGGTTCTTTTGCATGTTAATTTTTGGAAGATACTTACCCAATATAAGACAGTGGCATTTTGCACTTGGTTTTTATTGTTTAACATAATTTGTCAGGGTTTGCCCATGTTGTGGCGTGATTCTTCATTCAGGACTTCATTCTTTTTCTTGTGGTGCTGGGGAATGAACACAGGGCCTCATGCATGGTGGGCAAGTGCTCTCACACTGAGCTGTTATACCCCTGGCCAGGACTCCCATCATTTTTTATGGCAGAATAATGCTCGTGTGTGTGTGTGTGTGTGTGTATATATATCAATCAGATATTTGTCATCCCTTCATTTGATGAGCATTTGGTTGTTTCTACATTTTAGCTTTTGTGAATGATACTGCTTTGAACATTTGTGTACAAGTTTTTATGTGGACACATGCTTTCATTGCTCTTGAATTAGAGTTGTATAATTTAAACCTGTCAAGTATGATATGCATATTTTATGCCACTTTGTGGAATTGGCTAGTATTTATTGAAAGTTTAACATCCATTTTGTTAGAGTGAATTCTGGTTCACTTTCTGCCTCTTGAATTTGCTTTTCATTTCAGTGATGGGAAATTATGTTTTGTGGAAATAAGCTTTCATTCTTTTATTTATTTTATGGAAATCTGTCATTAACACTAGAAAGAAAGCCTTCTTGTCTTTCACTTGCTGCTTTATGCCTCCTTTGTTATGAGTAAATAGTGGCATTTAACTTTTCTAGCTGTTTATAAAGCACTTTCCCTTTGTGAGATCATATAACCTTCTTTGCAGTCCTGTAAGACTTGCTCAGGTTGTTGTTTTACAGCTGTTAAATTTTCACTTTTTTGGTTAATTCATGTTTGCAATATATAATAAATGCACTCATGATGAGGAATCGATACATGTACTTATCACATCACATTCTTTTTACTTCCCCTTTCCTTCTCCCTCCTTCCATCTCTAGATCCCCTTCCTATCTGTAAAAGGACTACTTCCTTGTTTACTATTCTCTTTTATTTTGCTCTTTAAAATATTAATAATTGTATAATTTAGGAGAGAAACTATGTGATAGTCAACCTTTTGTGTCTGGTTTATTTCACTTAGCATTATGGTCTCGAGGCTGACTACTAAAGTCCTGATCTAACTGATTCCTTTTTAATAGAGCAGTTGGTACATAGCTGCAGCCCAAGATGATGTCCTTTGTCTCAGTACACATCTTGTTGTTTTGTTTTGTTTGAAACAGGTTTTGCTATGTAGTTCAGGCTGGTCTTGAACTCGCTATGTAGCCCAGGCTGGCCTTGAATTCGCATGATCCTCCTGCCTAAGCATCACCCTGTCTAGCTGCCATCTGTTGTTTGACAGCAGTCTCTTTCAGGTGTTGAGAAGGTGTAGCAGCCTCCAAAGAAAGCTTAGAAGCCTAAGCCAGTGATTCTCAAATAGTAGCCTGTATGCGAAGCCAGTTGTGGTGCGCACACCTGTAATCCCAGCTCTGGGGAGGCTGAGGCAGAAGGTTCAGGAATTCAGGGTCATCCTGGGCTGCATAGTGAAATCCTATTTAAAAAAAAAAAAGACCAAAAAGACCTGATAGGCATTGTCAAAGTGCAGATTGCTGATACCACTATAGGTTTCTTACTGAATAGTTCTGGGAGAGGATATGAGGTTTTGTATTTCTACAGAGTTCCTGAATGATTGTAATGCTGCTTCTGCTCCCAGGCCTGCACTCGGAGAGTATAAGCCTAGGCAACTCACTCTGTGTATCCCTGGGTATTGTTCACCCAGAACCTCTCAAACCTCAGCATGTGTGTGCATCCGCTGGGGATGCCTCAGTGGAAAGGGAGGCTTCCAAGGTTTCCTGACTAGCACCAAGGTAGCGTCCTGCAACTTCAAACAGAGAAGCCGCGTACTGCCCTCTGCCTAGATAGTTCTTTGTTTTTGTACAACTATAATAAGTGCTGACAGCTTTAAGCAGATGAATAAGCTGTGGCATGTGATATGAAGTGGAAGGATGCTGTGCAAGTTGCATGGCTCTTCTGGGAAACAAAACCAGAGGCCAGAATGGACCAAATTAGACCTAAAGAGTACATAGCTCAGGCTTTTAACTCTTAATTTGGAGTAAATTAAAATTTTCTAGTGTGATCTTGTAAGTTCATGCTTCCAGGTTCTAAAATGTGTTTCATAGGTCCCATGATTGAATACAGTATTTTCTTATAGGAATTCCAAATTCACTCTTCTCAATTAATGGATTCATTTTATGTTTTTCTTTTTTCCTAAGCTTCTTGGCAAATTAATGGAGAACTGATTGTATCAATGTTATGGCCTTATTAATCTGCGTATTTTATACTTGTTACCTAGAAGAATTACTGTTTTATAAAAAACAAAATCCAGTAGAACTAATTTTTCATTTCTTCCTTGGCAGATCACTTACAACCTTGGGGCTGGTTATATCCTCACTGGCTGACCAGGCAGCTGGCAAGGGTAAAAACAAATTTGTGCCTTATCGAGATTCAGTCCTCACTTGGCTCCTTAAGGTAATTCATTGTTCTGGCATCCTGTTCCAACTAGCACTGTGTATTCCAGATGTGGCAGCTGAAAGATGTGTCACAGCTGACCAAATACACACAAAGAACTATCCTGACACTACTGTTGTCCTAATTCCTGGGGATGCAGATAAACACTTCGTATTGCTTTTTGCTCCATAATAATGTATTACTGGTATTTTTCATTGTTGTAAATAAGAAAGGCCACATTTTATCTTGTCATAAAATAATCTGTGAAATGCAAACACATTTCCACATAGCGTTTTCTTCTTTGAGAATGTCACACATGTATACTATTTGCTTCTTTCATCATATGTGTTGTACCTGAAGCAGGCTTCCTCCTTAGAGGCTATTTGAAATGCTTTACAGGACAATCTGGGGGGCAACAGCCAGACCTCTATGATAGCCACTATTAGCCCTGCTGCAGACAACTATGAAGAGACCCTCTCCACATTAAGATATGCAGATCGAGCCAAGAGGATTGTGAACCATGCTGTTGTGAATGAAGATCCCAATGCCAAAGTCATCCGAGAACTGCGGGAGGAAGTAGAGAAGCTGAAGGAGCAGCTCTCACAGGCTGAGGTAGGGTCACCCTGGTGCTCCCTGACTTGTGTACCTGACTAGTGAGGACTTGCTTGCTCACGGTTCTGGGCCATCTCCATGTGATTCAGCATTTCAGTGTTTTTTGGCATCAGCTTTGTGTTAATATGCACTGTGAAGACCAGTGTGAGTAATACAAGACTTCTGTCCTAGCAACTTGCAGTCAAGAAGAGATAAGTCCTGCTACTAATTGTTTGCTTCAGTAAAGCAGTTGGCTCTAGTGAAATCCCAACTGCTAAATGTATTGTTTTTATTTTTATTTATTTACACTGTACACTGCTTCCACTTTGCTTTAACTTTTATCTCCTTGTTAAGTCACGGAGATAGCATGATAATGGATAAACATTTGAAGTAATTGAGCAATCCTTTCATGTTTGCTTTTATATCAGCCTTTAGAAGGTAGCAAAAGCAGTATTTTTGCCTTGTACCATCTGTCCTTGGCTTTCCCCAAACTTTAATAACCATGTGCTTTTCCAAGTATCTATTGTGTTTTGTAGATTGGCGAGTGAAGCACTATCTCATTTGAAATAGGTATAAGGACTGCAGTTGAGGCCAGGTACCTTAGTTGAAGTCACATATTTCATGTCAGGACTTGGCTATGACCTGTAATGATTTAAATATGACTCATGTACTGAGGATTTGATACCCAATGCAGCAATGTTCAGAGGAAGGGCCTACAGAGGTGACTAATCATGAGGGCATTAACCTTTCCAAGGGGTCCATATTTGAATGGACTGTTAGAAGGTGGGAGCGTGGTTGGAGGAAGTAAGTTGCTGGAGGTACCTGTTCCTCTGTGTGTCTGGTCCTCTGCCTGTTCCTCTCTGGCTGTCACTTACCACGTGGTAAGCAGCTTTTCTCCACCATGCCCTTCTGCCATAATATTTCTGCCTTGGAGCTAGTGACTATGGACTGAACCATCTAAAATCATGAGCCCAGATAAACCTTTGCTCCTTTAAGTTATATATGTCAGATTCTTTGTCCCAGCAATGACTAATGCAAGAACTTAAACTCCTAAGCTCACATTTCTTCACACCATTCTTTTCTGATCCCACTTGAGGGGTGGGCAGGTAATATTGTGCATTTATGTGCCAGGCACTCTTTAAATACTCTTTTATCTATCGACATTATTTAACCATAGTAAATACTCAAAGAATTTTGTCTAGTATGTGTTTTATTATGAAGCCTAATTGCTATATTGATGCCAAAGCATGTTAGCAAAATATCAGAAGAAACAAAATGCTGTTAGATTTAAGAAAAGTCATGATCCTAGAAGGAAAGTAGAGTGGTTCTGAAATTTGTTAATAGGTAAATTATTTCCTTCCTCTTGTTTCTGAATTTTCATCTTGACTGTGAACACAATATCTAGGCCAGAAGGCCAGAGCAGTACATGGCCAAAGGAAAGAGAAAAAAGCCACATGGGTCCACCTAGAACTTCCATGTGTGTCCCCCTGTATCCAGCACTAAATGCCACTCAAGCTCTCTCTCTTTTTTTTTTTTCTCATTGAGTTTTGGTACATTTTGACTGTGAACACAATATCTAGGCCAGAAGGCCAGAGCAGTACATGGCCAAAGGAAAGAGAAAAAAGCCACATGGGTCCACCTAGAACTTCCATGTGTGTCCCCCTGTATCCAGCACTAAATGCCACTCAAGCTCTCTCTCTTTTTTTTTTTTCTCATTGAGTTTATTGGTACATTTTAGGTATACAGTACAGTTACATTCATTATTGGGATCTTGTACCTTTACATGATAAGTCTTGGTTCTCATTTTTTCCCCTTGTCCCTGCCCTCCCTTCACCCCTTCTTTCCCTCCTCTTCATTTCCATTTTTTCATTTTCTCATATTTTTTTCTTTTTCAAGCTCTCTTTTTTTTGTTGGGTTTTTTTTTTTTGTTTTTTGTTTTTTGTACCAGGGATTGAACTCAGGTCATTGCGCTTGCAAGGCAGGCAACCAAACCGCTGAGCTAAATCCCCGGCCCCCAAGCTCTCTTAATACCAAGAGACTCAGGCATACTAAGCAAGCTTCATATCGACACCATTCCAACTTGTAGTCTAAGCTCTATCTGTCTCATTCATAGGCCTTCACTCTGTAGCAGCTCGTGAACCATAAGATATCAAAGCAAATCATTGCCAAGTAAAGCCCCCCCTTTCCAGAATTTTCAATCTGTAAACGTCTTTGTTTAGACTCCTTATTTATTCTTATTGCACAAATTCATAGGGAGACTACTGCCCTTTCAAGCAGGTGCCCTGCTTCAAGTGAATAATAACTAAGCCAAATGTGCTACCATCCATAAAGAAAATAATTTAAAGAGCCCAGATTCAAATTTTAAAGTAAGAAAAATATTACCTTTCCTGGTAGGTTAATATAGCTGTGTGTTTATGGTGGTATGTTTTGGTATCTGACTTATTGAAAAAGAAATCTGCAGAAGTAACTTTTTTTTCCTGTTTTGATATTTCAAAGATGAATTTTAGCCATCTTTAGATCTTTAAATGTGAAATTTAATGATGGTGAATAAAATGACTGTGCCACGGCTTGTCTCATTTTCATTCTGGGCACTGGTATTTTTCTCCTTGAAGCAGGAGCAGTTACGTGATCCTACATTTCATTGATTAGTAGAGGTCTAAGACCCATCTCAACAGTGTTTGACTTAATTGCTTCCAAAAGACTCCTGCTACCTGCTGCTACCTGCTTATGCATGACATAAGGATCCCATTGTATGCATCTCAGACATAATGCTGGGAAATTTTGAAGTCAGATATCTCTGGTTTTATTTTCAAGGCCATGAAAGCCCCTGAACTGAAGGAGAAGCTCGAAGAGTCTGAAAAGCTGATAAAAGAACTAACAGTGACATGGGAAGAGAAGCTGAGGAAAACAGAAGAGATCGCCCAGGTAGCCTAATAATTTAGACCTAAAATATTCGGAGACTTTTCCATTTGTTGTCTTTCCTGTACAGCCATCTGTCATCCTCCAGAAGTCTCAAGGGTCTCTGTCTGCATGACCAGAGACTGCTGAGATCTTTTTAGACAACATCATGTCTTCTACCAGTTTACAGTTTGGTCCATAATATTTGTTACAGTGCTACATTTGAGTTGGCAAGATGACAAGAAAGCCCTTTCATACTTCCTGCTCTTCTCATTGCAGCAAAAGTCTGATTGTGATTTTGAGGTCATCTGGGTCACACCCTGGGATTGTTGTTTTTATATGTCCACTTGGTGTCCCTGCAGCACCATCCCAAGATGTCTTGCATGGCAAGCTCTCAGTGTTGAGCTGAGTAGAATGTGTCGTTTCATTGGCATTGTCCCCAGAATCAGTGACTGACTTTTTCCATGGATACATCTTGTGAATAGAGCAACAAATAGAGATCCTGCTTCTGTCTGTTTCTGTGCTCAGGAGAGACAACGGCAACTGGAGAGCATGGGGATTTCCCTGGAGACATCTGGCATCAAGGTGGGGGATGACAAGTGTTACTTAGTCAACCTGAATGCAGACCCTGCTCTCAATGAACTTCTGGTTTATTATTTGAAGGTGAGAATATACATAAACAGGTAGATGTGGTCCTAAATCATTCGTGTGTAATTCCCAGTGGAGCCTCCATCACTGTGCATTTTGCATCCAGTTTAACCCTCATTAAAAGTAACATGATGGATAGTACAGTCCCAGCACCATTGAGAACGAAAAACAACTGAGTGCCAGCTTCAGAGAGGCAGGAACAGGCTGTGTCCAGACAGTCCCCATGTATAGAAGATTTCAGGAGTGAGGTGTCAATAATCCTGAGAATATCTGGGTCCAGCCACAAAGGCCCTGCAGAGCCTTGGAAGTCCTTAGTATACTTCCACATAATTCTAAGATCTTAAGATCAGCATGAGCCCAAGGAGGCCTTTGTTCTGGACATGGTGGCACACAGCAGTAATCCTAGCACTCTGAGAGGCTGAAGCCGAAAATCACAAGTTTAAACCCAGTGTGGGCAACTTAGTGACTTGGGCAGATCTTGTCTCAAAATTTGAAAATAAAAAGGCAAATCAGAGTGGGGTGAGAAGGCTTCTGTGCTACACTGGATAGAAGTGTTATCAGTGGCCAGATTGCCAGTAATTACAGTCTTTATGTGTCCAAGGTTCAGAGGACTTAAAATCACACTAATCTATACATGGTGTCACTCATAGCCTTCTGTATTCTTATATCGGCATTTAAAAATGCAACTATTTTTAACATGTTATAAGTACATATTAAGGCCTGGGGCACCTCAATGCTAGCATACATACTTAACATATTCAGGGTCCTGGGTTCAATCCCTAGCACAAAACAAACAAAACAAAATAAAAAACAGTTATATATACTAAGATATGACTTTCCATGAAACCACTTTTCAGTGGTTCTTAAATTTATCTAGCTGCTAATTCAGATAACCCTTAACAGAATACTGCCAAGTAAGTCAAATACATAATACTTGTCCTGGTTCATTCCACCATAAAATAAAGAAGAGAAAACTGATTCTCGGAGGGAGAAATGACTTGCTCATAGGCACTTAAATTAGAAGTACTTAGGTCACAATTGAGATTCAAGATATTCAGCTTTCAAGTCTGCTTTGTTTTAAGACAATATGTAATCACTATTGACCAGGGCTCTGGGTTTTTGTTTGTTTTTGTTTTTTCCCATAGGATTTAAACACTTAAAAAATTAGTGTGTTTAAGGTAAACATTTGGCTTCTGCTGTTCCAGATATCTAGCAAGACTCATTAAATAATAGTCATGTTTCTCTTGCTGGGTTCTTTGCATTGATTGGGATAAATTTTAGTTGAGTTACTCATAAGTGTGGGTTTTTCTGTCTTCAATCATCTCTTGCTAGGACCACACCAGGGTGGGTGCAGACACCTCCCAGGATATCCAGCTTTTCGGAATAGGGATTCAGCCTGAGCACTGTGAGATCGACATTGCAGGTGATGGAGATGTCACTCTCACACCTAAAGAAAGTGCAAGGTGAGAGAAGTTCCTTCTGTGTGCTTTGTTTACATGAGGAAAAGGCTCCCTCTGGGTTTGCCTCCGTTATATCAAAGTTGAGGCTACACTGAGTCCACAGGAAGAATTGTTTGTAAAGAGTATTGCAGCAACACTAGAGAGCCCTGGCTCCATTATTATCAATAAAACCTAAATCACTAGGACCAGGGATTTAGCTCAGTGATTCCACCGCCTGCCTCACAGGCTCGAGGTCCTGAGTTCGAGATCCCTGGTACCAAAAAAAAAAACCTAAATCACCACAGTTGAACTATTACTATGAAGGAGTGGTTGTTTTCACAGTATCTGAGCTTTAATGTCCTAAAAAGATTCAAGACTCAGATAATGAGATTATGTAGAAAAAGTGACTTATTAGACAAACTAGAACTGAAAATCATATCCATTGTTTCTCATCAGACTTTACCTAATTTTAAAATTATCAGAAAAATGTTTAAATGAGATATTCCTTTCATATTTGTGTTTTTGTTTTTGTGTTGTTGTTCATTTTTGTTTGGGAAGGTTGGGTTTTTTGGGTTTTATTTTGGTTTTTGTTTTGTTTTGTTTCCAAATTTGGACAAAGTATCCGACCAGGAATGTTTTCTGTCTCCATCAGAAGCACGTCATGTCAGACTCTCTCTCTCTGAGGCACGATGGTGGCTCTTGGTCATGGAGTGTGTGTTTCAGTGGTGGTTACGAATTCTGTTGTTATTTCTTGGAGTACATCTATTAAGAGAAACTCCCCCACAGTGATCTCTTTTTGTACCCGGGCTGGGTTTGTGTTCCTGTCCATTCTCCTGATGTCTTCCCTGTGCCCTTTTAGGTCCTGTGTGAATGGCACTCTGGTGTGCAGTTCCACCCAGCTGTGGCATGGCGATCGAATCCTATGGGGAAATAACCACTTTTTTAGGTAACACCTTTGTGTTTGCTAATATTTGCTTATACATTGTCTCCTGTTACCTATTAAAGTATAGAACAACCTTATTTTCTCTCTTGATTAAAAAAACAAAACAAAACACAGAATTAATTTACCTAAGAGGAAACGGCGAGATTGGCTGAAAGACTTTGAAAAAGAAACAAGTCCAGCAGAGCATGACCTGGATGCAGCCAGCGAGGCATCCTCAGAACCAGACTATAACTATGAATTTGCACAGATGGAAGTCATCATGAAGACCCTGAATAGTAATGGTGAGACCCTAATTCCTCCTCTCCTGTCATTCAGTGAAGGATGAGCATGTATAGAGTGGCACCCTGGAATTTAGACACATAAAATTGCTAATTTCCTACCAAGGGGCTACTGAAGAGATTTGGGGGATTAACTCTTCCTGCAGGGATAACCAAAAAGTGGATGATCCATGTTTTGAGCCAATTGTATTTCCACAGTCCTAGAGTTCTTAATGATTTTAACAGATTTTATCAAATCTTCCATTATAGCCAGGTGTGGTATTCCGTTATCTTTTCTCTTTCTGTACTTATAACACTTGTGTGCATTCAGTAACATTCACACCAAATCCTTTCCTTGCCTGCTATGTGGTAAATCTACCGCTTCCTCTTCCCACCCCACTGATCTCCCAATTCCCAATCCTTGGTGCCTGCAACCTGAAAGCCAGTCAAAAGCTCTCCTTGTACCAGGCACAAGACAGCATTTCCAGGGCTCCAGCTGTTTTGCGGGGATAAAGCTGAGGGTACATTCAGGAGCTCAGAGCAAGTTTCAGGGCTTGGTGTGAGCTCACCTTTCCACTCCTCTCTCCTAGCCACGGAAGGACCCATCACAGAAACAATTGAGCTCTTCCCTAAGACAACGACTCTCTCACTCTGCTCCTTAAATAAGCCCATCAGAGGAAATGGAGCATGTCTACGGAATTGTCAGATTTCAGGAGTTGTGTTGCTCTAAAGATTTTGACCTTTTGATCCACCTCTGGGTTTTTTAGTCTGAGGGACCCTTTTCAAATTATAAAAATGAAGTGCAAAGAAAAGATCAGACTCTATAAAACACATATAGCATAGTTACATAAAGAGTATAGAAATCCACACCCAAACAATGGAGGGAAAAAAATTTTACAAGAAAAGCTCAGTCATTTTTCTTTTTAAAACAACTACGCTTAGGATGTTTAGATGAGCTACTGGGACTTCCAGTGTGCAAGGCAGCGGGGACCACAGCTGAAATCAAGCTTCAGACCACACCTCCTCGCCCACCAATGGGGGTGATCCCAAAGTGGTGTGCGATCATCGCAGTTGCATCAGCGGGTCACCGAAGAACATGCCCCAGCAGTTTCCTGGGGATGGTTCTTCCTGAATGGACATGTTGTGTTGGGTGTGGCGGGAAGTGTAGGCTGCACACCCCAGTGGAGGACTGCCCACTTGGGGAGAGCTCGTTTCATTGGATGAGGTTATAGAACTCTGCAGGGTACCCAGACATTACCAAGTTAAGCATTTGTCCATCTCAGAACGCAGGCTTCTGATTTCACCCAATTGCTACTTTTTTCTTTCACTTATAAATTTGAACCTGTGGGCTGAGGATTTAGCTCAGCGGTTCGGTGGACTGCCTTGCAAGCGCAAGGACTCGAGTTCGATCCCCGGTACCAAAACATAAATAAATAAATTTGAACCTGTGAGGCCAGGCGCAGTAGTGTATGCCAATAGTCCCCGAACTTGGGAGGCTGAGGTAGGAGGACTGCTGTAAGGTAAGGTCAAGGGCAGCCTGAACTATATCATAAGACTCTATCTCAAAAAAAAAAATTTTTTTTAAACCTCTGAGGAACCAAATGAATATAAGCATTCTTGAGTTCTTCCAATTCTTGTAGCCAAATCTGTTAGAGTTGTCTGCATCCTAGCTCATGGTAGTAATGAGAGTTATTCACTTGGATCTCCCATCAAGCCTTGCTCTCCAGTGTTGATTTTATCCACATGAAAGTACACTCTCCTTCTTGGTCCCTCACCCAATCCTCCTAGTGAGTGGAGTTTCCCTCCAGGCACACACATGCTCTGATGCAAATATTGAGTGCTAATGACCAGACAGTGTTCACCAGACTCACCTCTATACTAGGTGGCTTCCCGACGATAAGCCTGTCTGCTTGGTGGTCTTCCCCTTGGTGGTCCTATTTGAAGATTCTCCTCCCTCTCCTCTGGTTCCAGACGAAGCTCCTCCACAAACACTGGGACAGAGGTTTTTACCTGACTGGCAATGGCATGAGTAGGCATGGCTGGTTTCAGCAGGGCTGCTGACTGAGGCTTATGCTATGTGCTTTGGCAAAATCTAGGTGCCCTGATTGGGAAGAGGTAGAAATTTTCTGTGCAATGAAGTCGCTCTGTATTCTCAATTGAGGAACATTTCTTTTTAATTATGCCCCTTCCCCATCATGTGTCCCAACTTCATTGCCTTCCCAGAGGTAAGATGTGATAGCTGTGCCCTTTCCCTTGCACCAAGAGCATGGGAAGGATAAATGCTATTACTACAGTTCCCATTGGCTTTATTACTGTTGAGAGCACAGCAGGTCAGGGCAGTAGTACTTCAGATATATGTTCAGCTCCATTAGCCCAGTAATAGCCTGGAATAATACATTTTTTTAGTCCCTAGTGTAAATAGTGACCTAAAGCCCAATTCATTTGAACTTCAAGTAAAAGAAATTCTAGTATTTATGAACAATAATGCCTTCTTTGTAGAATTCAAAATAGGAATGAAAGACTCATCTCTTTTCCCAATTTCAGTGGTAGCCTGCTGTAAAGAGCAATTAAGGGGCTGGCAAGGTCATAGGGCTAATTTACTCCATCTAAGATTAAAAGGTTCTTTTTTCCCTTCAGGATCTACTTCCCTTCATTTCAGTGCTTTGGACATCTTGGTGTGAATTAATCCTAATACTCTTTCTCACATAGCCATTTCTAACACTCTTTGTCACCAGCACCACTACCACTCATCTCTTTTCCATTTTCTGGATGACAGATTAGTTTGAGTTCATTTCATAGTTACCTACCTGGGAAACAGGAAGCTAATGAGGAAAAGACAGCTATATCCCAAAATAATGCAGTCCTTTCTGTCTCCCTGAAAGACTTAGCTCTTTGGTGTGGTGGCCTTAGGCACCAGGTTCATTCAAGTGGAGGAAAAAGGACTGGAAGTGTGACTGTGCTGCAGCACTTGCCTTGCTTGTACAAACTGTGGATCTGTCCCGGCACTGCAAAAAGGAAAAAAACGAGGAAAGCAATGGGGGAGGGGATAAAACAGCACAACCTACTAATGTTTGGGTCATTAGGGAACAGGCCAAATGATTTTTGGCTTCTATTCTGAGCCCTGTCAGAGTCAGATCAGCTTGCCAGTTCGGCTGATCTATTTAAAAGAATGCGGGAGTGTGAATGGTGAAGACTTCAAACTGGCCAATTTGAAGGCAGAGATGGGAGAAGTTAACGAAGATGTCTGTGAGAAAGACTTTTCCAGGCTACTACTGGGATCTGAGATAAAAGCAAAACCCACTCTTTGGGCTTCCATGGGGGCTGCTGAGTTGCAGGAGTCCCTAGGTCAGGGCTTGCTGACTGTGCCAGGGAAAGGAGGCATACAGGCTTGTGTCTTTTCCATGTCTGCACATTTGAGCTATAGGCCCTGGGGAAGCCTGATGAGCAGTGGTTGGGCGAGGTTGTGGCAACTCCTAAAACGTGCCTCAGCCGCATGACCTCTGCATTGGCAAGGAAGCACCGTGGGGTCAGACCTCTCTGCCTTGGCCACTTGGAACATGGGTGTTTCTGTACCACTGACAAATGGAAAAGTGTGGACTAAGTACCTAATTCAGTATCTCTTAGCACACACTTGTAATCCCTGCACTTGAGAGGCTGAAGCAGGAGGATCTTGAGTTTGAGGTCAACAAAACAAAACAAAACAAACACAAATCCTTGTGCTGTCCCTAATTCATTGTATGATCTTAAGTCACCCGCTTAAACTTTCTGAACTCCAGTATCCTCATTTTTTTAAGCTGGGGTGATATCTGCCCCTGGTATGCTGCAGCGTTTTCAGGATGTGGTACGTGCAAAGGTTAGAAGCCCTCTGCTGAGATATGGCCAGCAATTAGAAGAGACATAACTTGCTGTTGTGATTGTTCTTTTTATTAAAACAACTCACCTTTGCTGCGCATTTCTTGTGATTTTTAAAAATTGCTCCTTTTTGTTTTGCATCATTTAACCTTATTTTTTAAGCTAACATGCTATCTTTTTCTCTTTTTGTTAACATAGAAAATTAGTGCAATGTATACATTTATTTCACAAATCGTTAGGATATTTTGGAATAGTCAATAGCCATAATCAGGTAATATAAAATTTCTTCCTGAGTTACTTTAATTTCCACTTCTTTCTGGAAATTAAACTGAGACTGATATGTGGGAAAATAACACAACTGTTCTGAAGAGTATGCAGTGTATGAATATACAAGGAGGAAATTATGTCCCAGGCTGCTGTAGAAACACACCTCAGGCCCAGGTACCTCTGGGAAGTGTTAGTCACTGTAGTGGTCTTGTTCTGCCATTGAGACTGTCTAGTGCACTGCTTCCCTACAGTCTGCTCACAGGGATGCTGGAAATTTGTACCTGTGCCTTGACCCATCTCCATGGCAGCCAGCTCAGTGGTTATTACCATCCAGTTGGCTCTTCACAGTCACCGCCTACACCACAGCCACCACTAGTCATCATGGTGGCTCCATGGAGCAAGATCCCTTGGTGGGTCTGTTCCTGTTCCCCGCATGTGTGGTTTTGAGTCCACTTCTGGACTCATAAAGATGTCAGACACAGGTTTTTGTTTTTTTCCAAGTTTCCTCTTAGATGCTAACACCTGAGAAATTGCCAGACCATATACTCAGTATTTTCAAATATGTTTCCTACCACATAAGAGAAATTCAAGAATAATGAGATTTGTGGTGAAAATCGTTACCCTTTGCCATGTACCAAAACCAGTAATAACTGGGCATAGAAAATGATATCTGTCCACCGCCTACCTTGCAAGCACAAGGACCTGAGTTCAATCTCCAGTACCAAAAAAAAAAGAAAAGAAAAAATGACAACTGTAAATGTAAGTCATATGTGTTTTTATCTGTAGAATAGTCCTAGATTTCACAAAGATTTTCTTCTCAGCAAATAAGATCACAATTCTTCTCTTCTGCCATCTGCTGGTACTAGATTAGCGACCTAAACCTTAGGGTGAACCCATCAAATTGAAAACAGTAACATAGCAGTCATGAAAAATATTTGCATATGGAGAAGTAATTAAACATGTCAGTAAAAAGGAAACTGAGAGGATTTCAAACCACTGAGCCCCTCAGGCGTCTCACAGAAAGTGCCAGACCGCTAGATTGTGGGGCCACAGAGAGTTCCAGCTGGAAGGGTCCCGGACAGGTTGTTGACTGAGCCACTGAAGGCACCCTGGTGGGTCTGTTCCTGTTTCCGCATGTATGATTGTAAGCCCAATTCTAGACCCTTAAAGACATCAGATACAGCTTCTGTTTTCTTGGCCCACCAGACCCAGTTCAAAATGTGGTTCAGGTCCTGGAGAAGCAGTACCTGGAAGAAAAGAGAAGTGCCCTGGAGGAGCAGCGGCTCATGTACGAGCGGGAGCTGGAGCAGCTCCGCCAGCAGCTCTCACCCGAGAGGCAGCCGCCAAGCAGCGGCCCGGACCGCCTGGCCTACAGCAGCCAGACAGCACAGCAGAAGGTGACCCAGTGGGCCGAGGAGAGGTGAGAGAAAGGAGGTGGCCAGGTACCTGGGGCTGCTGGGCTTGGGAGTAGGGTATAAACCTCACAAAGAAGGAAGTCGTGGTCCAGCGCTGTGAGTTGGCTGCTGGCTTTTCCTCCCCAAAATACTGTCTGTCCTGGTATATTTGCTGCAGTGGTAGCTATCAGCCCATCTTTCCCTCCTTAGTAGAAGGCTCAGACTGTTAGGTATTTAAAGAAAGGAATTTGAACAATTGTTTAACAAAAAAGCACTTGCCTAATTTTTTATTTCTTTTATCTTTGATCCTATTTAAATATAGCTTCATGGTTGAGAAATCTACCAAGGGTGAATTTTCAGGAGGTTGTAATAGAGGAAAAGGCAGTAATAACCATCACCAATTAAGATGGTAAATCACTACTAACTTTTGTTGGTTCTCACCATACTTGGGGCGTATTGCTAATTTTGTTTAACACTCCCAATTGAACTATCTCTGCCTTTCTAAATGGGCTGCCTATTTAAATATGCTGCCTTATCACCTATCTAGAAAGTGAAAAGACCAGCGTTTGAATTCAAGTCTGTCTGTAGTCCCAATAATATCTCTGTGTTATAATAATTACCAGTAGTTATAAAGGTAGCACCTGAGAGTGACAGATTATTCACCATGTTCTAGGTACCAAGTGCTTTACCATTATTCCTCTCCACCTGGATATTACCATTGGATATATACATCAGGAACTGATTTGGAGCAGCTAAATGACTGACCCAGTGTCATTTGGCTTGTAAACTGGGACAACCTGACTCTAGAGCCAGGCTGGCGAACCTATGGCATGCGTGTCTTAGCTGTTTGCTGAAAACTCTAAAAGTTTCGCCGTCACTGCCCTGGAGCTTGTACTCAAGCCCACACTCACTCCAAGCTCTCACCAGCTATGGATTGCTGAGGGGAGCCACATCCTGAGAGACGACCCAAGATGGGAAGAGGGAACCCTCCCTTGCACCGAAGCCCCCTTGGAAGTTATGTACTTGCTTGACTAAATGAAAAGACTCAGTTCCATCTTGCTGGGAGCTACCTTTTCGTCTGTGAGTACAGAAGTATGAAGGCACAGCATGCTCATGCTGCTCTTTCTGTCTCACTGTGCTGGGAGGAGCTGACCAGGTGCTCAGTGGTGCTTAAGAGCACCTTTCCCATGCACGCTATGAACATCATTAGCTGTGGAAGGTGGTTGGGGTAATTACACCCATTGATACTCTTTCTGTTTACAAAAGAATGTAAAAGACAGCAGAGATATCTGGCAGAGAATGTAGAGTGTTTCTCAGCTAAATGTTTAGAGAAATCTCTCGCTTTCCTTAATTCTAGACTGATTGTCTTTGAAGCCTAAATTTTTTTTTTGGGGGGGGGTCCTGGCGATGGAACTCAGAACCCCCTGCTTGCCAGGCAGGCGCTGTACTGCTGAGCTAAATCCCTGGCCGGAGGCCTAATTTCTTAAAAAGGAATAAGATTGGTTGCAGTATTGATTGAGTCAGGTTTCACTGCATACAATTAAGGTGCCTAGTGGTGAATGGTTGTATAAGAGGCTGGGGCTCTTATCCAAGTACATACAGGTTGATGGATTGGGAATTAATGAGGGACTCACAGCTGCATAAGCAATGAGAGGCAGAGAATCAAGTACATTTTAAGAGCTGGGAAAGTCAGAGAAAGCTACTGATATAGTTTATTCTCTTTATACACTGTACACTTAGGGTATAGTATGGATGAAGCCAAGTATAATAATGTGAAAGTTTAAATCATGATCGGAAATTAAAGTTTCATTTAACAATGGGAAGTGCAATGACTTTATAGTTGTTTGTTTATTTTTTCTCTTCTCCCCCTGGAAAGTTTGTTCCAGGGAACAGAGAATCTGTTTTGTTCCCTGAGCCATCTCTAGTGTCTAAAATGCTGTTGTCCACACAGTGGGTACTTGGCAGCCAGTCGGTCTGTTTGTAGTGGAAGTACTGTTGAAGTGATAAGCAAGTATGTGATTGCCAGGTGGGCAGAACATGCAGTAAGTCTGATGATTGTTTAGGGAAGGATAAGACCCCAGGGATGTTGAGTGTCCTGCAGAGATTTTTTTCAAGGAGAGACAGGATTTCAAGTGAGTTTGAAAGGTTGACTTTTAATAGGCAGAGAGAAGGCAGGAAGGCTATTTATTTACGTGTTGCCAAGTATGCACCCTCCCACCCAGCTACACTTCTAGCTGGTAGCAAGGCATTTGGGATGGGATGATTGGCATAAACAGAAAGCAGCAGAGAAAAGTAAGATGTATTGGGGAGCTTGCAAGGGAACTGTTTTGTTTAGCCTAGAAGGTGATGTCTACAGCAATGAAGATTAACTCTAGGTGTGTGAGCTAGGCCATGTGGGACATGTGTTGTAGACTTGAGTTTTTGCAGTTTATCCCCTGGAGCAGACTTTGAGCCACAGAATGGCCTGAGGGGGCAGGAGTTTAGAAGGACTGTCCTGTAGTAGAAGGGCCTGGAAAAAGAGACAGACACACACGTAGGAGCTGGTTTAAAGGGAGTTAAAAAGGCTTTGGATATTGTGGAAAACAGAGGAAGGCTGGGCTTACTGAAGCCCAAGCCTGGACAAGTGGCAGAGTGGAAGCATCTTTGGGGAGAACTCGTCATGATTCCATCCTCACAGTGAGCCTCTTCCTGAGCTCTTGCTGAGGCGGTGAGGAGGAGCCCAGATTTGGATATTCAGAGCTCATCTTTTACCTATGAAGTAAGGATGGAACGGAATCAAGGTTAGAAAAGAGAAACTGTGCATGCACGGCATAGGGCACTCATGAGACTGTTATTTTTGAACCCAGTCACAAAAGCAAAATCCACAAATACTCTTTTCTTTCACACACTGGGAATCTAAAATTTCCTCTTGGGCCATGTACTCGACCAGGAACTCATTGTTGTGGTGAGCAAATTATGACTCCCTGCCCAAGTAGCACTTATAGCCCAGTCAACTTATTATACAAATAAATGAAAACCTATTATTACTGTTATAGTCTAGCAGAAGCAAAAGACAAGGGGCTGAAGGGACGGGTACTGGGACTTTGACCAAGTTGGGGGTGTAACTTTTTTCCAGCGAGTGCTATTGTATAGAGTTGGCAAAAGGCATTCCCACTGCTCCAAACACCCAGTCGGACTTTGACAACTGAAGAAATAACATCAGCCCCTGGCTTCCAGCTTCAAGTTTCTCACCTGCCAGCAGCTCCCCCATCCCACAATACCCAAAAGACATAAATCATCATTTCTTTTCCTAAAGGGTGTTTTTACTTTTTTGTCTGAATCCTCATATAAAAATCTGGCATTTTTCAGCTGGGTGTAGTGGCATATACCTGTAATCCCAGCACTCGGGAGGCTGAGGCAGGAGGATCGCTGAGTTTGAGACCAGCCTGGGCTACATAGTGAGTTCCAGTTCAGTCTCAACTACATAGTGAGACCCTGTCTCAAAAAACAAACAAACAAACAAAAATCTGGCATTTTTCTAAGTGTACAATTTATAATTTGATTTTGTTGCTGTGGAGGAACCCAGGGCCTCACTCCCACATTCTGAGCCTAGGCTCTACTACTGGACCGTCACTCCCCACCAAAAGCTGTTTTTTGAAAACAAAACAAAACAAAACAAAACTGTTTTTTTTGTTGTTTCTTTAACATGGAGCACTTCACGAATTTGTGTGTCATCCTTGGGCAGAGGCCATACTAATCTTCTGTATCGTTCCAGTTTTAGTATGTGTGCTGCCAAAGCAAACACCTAAAACTTGTTTATTATTGAAGTCACTCTGTACTCTCCTCCCCAGCAGTGGTTCCCAGCATGCTAACCATGGAAGGGCTAGAGGGCTGGATCAGAGATGTCTGGCAAACAAGGTCGAAAAATACTGCCTGAAAGGAGTCTTCTGCCATTTTCCAGTAGAGACATAGAGACAGGATTGCCGTTTTCTTTCACATGTGCTCATTTCCTTTTCTGCAACACCATAGGGATGAACTCTTCCGGCAAAGCCTGGCGAAACTACGGGAGCAGCTAGTTAAAGCGAATACCCTGGTGCGGGAGGCAAACTTCTTAGCTGAGGAAATGAGCAAACTCACCGATTACCAAGTGACTCTTCAGATCCCTGCTGCCAACCTCAGTGCCAATAGAAAGGTGAGATTGTCCTTAGAAAATGAGAGCGAGTAGGGGAAAGGAAATGAGGGAAAAGAAAAAAAAAACATGAGAAAATGAAAATGAAGTATTTGTAAATAGGGAAGGGAGGAGGGGGTGAAGGGAGGGCAGGGATAAAGGGAAAAAATGAGAGCCAAGACCTGTCATGTAAAGGTACAGGATCCCAATGATGAATGTGACTGTACTGTATACCTAAAATGTACCAATAAACTCAGTGAAGAAAAAAAAAACAAAATGAGAGCAAGACACATTAGTGAACACTAAACTAGACTCCGCACATCATCCCTGCGGGAGCCTAACACGAGCCAAGGTGTTTATTCTTTTTAACCCTTCCTGGATACAAAGATACATAGGTAAGAATCCTATTTAAAACATTTCTGAAATGATAAAAAATTATAATAATGAAATAAGCAATGCCCTTAGATGTGTTATAAGCAGAATATTCAGAATTTTGGTGGCTAAAGGAATTGGTAATTTAAATACTTTTAAAATCAGTGAAACTAGCAGTATGTATAAGTCTGCTTTTCTGTGCACATTAATTCCCCCCTCTGAAATGGGAAATATGTGCATATTTTGTCATAGGTTTGATATTTGGTATTTTATTTTGTTTGTTTTTGGTACAGAGGATAGAATCCAAGGCCTTCTCACTAAGCTACATCCCAGCTCATTTTGTTTTTTACTTCAAGACACAATCTTACTAGTTGCCCAGGCTGGGCCCAAACTTGTGATCCTCTTACCTCAGCCTCCTGAGTAGTTGGGTTAACAGGCATGTGCTACCATACCCGGCTTATCGTATCTTTTTAAAAAATAATTCTGCAAGACAGCAAAATGTCTATGATCCTGTCTTTATGTATGCACAACTCTTTACAACCATTTGCAAGTTTCCTATTGTTTCAATTTGGAGAATTTTTCTGGTAGCAAGACACTTGGAAGAAAATTGGTTTTTGTCCAAGCAAGCAAATTGGAAAGTAAGTCAGAATATTTTTTCAGTCTTGCTAGGTTTTAGGGGGTTTTTTGCCCTTGCAATTCCCCTTTGAGAAGTTTACTCCAAGTACATAGGCATAGAAATGTACATAAAGATTTATGTCCTTTGTGTACAGGTTCTTCTCATAGTGGCCTAAATAATAGCAAAATTTTGAGACAGCTATTGTGTTGGGCAATAGGATAATCAAATCCATGAGGAAATCCATATGATGAATTCCTCTGTTGTCATTAAAAATCATGTTTGTAAGAATATCTAATGACATAAAGCAATCAATATTAAAAATGAAGAAGATTGGGATATATTTTTGTTTGGTCTTGGTTGTGGTAAAAACTGTGCACAAATATGCATAGAAGAGAGAAAATAAACCAGGATAATCACCTCGGCAGTAACATTTTATCTTCTTTTATATGCATTTATGTGTTTTGCAAACTTATTGCTATATGTATGTGAAGCAACCAAAAGTAAGTTATGATGCCCTTGTTGTTTGGTTTTCTTCGTCATGCAGAGAGGCCTAATAGTGAGCGAGCCAGCTATTCAAGTGAGAAGAAAAGGAAAGAGCACCCAAGTTTGGACCATTGAGAAGCTGGAGAATAAATTAATTGATATGAGAGACCTTTATCAAGAATGGAAGGAAAAGATCCCTGAGGTAAAAGATACAACATGGAAACGTGCTTGTATGAAAAGCAAAGAATACAATAACTTAATCTTTAGAACATACATGTGCACGTGCACATACACGCACACAGAGGCGTCAGTGAGAAAATAAAAGTAAAATGATCTTGAAATGGTTTTTTTTCTGCTCAACTTACTTTTATTAACAAAAAGTGCAAACTATTTTAAAAATAAGTAGACTATGCATCAGAGCATCCAAGCAAGACATGAGATGTGAAAAAAATGAATAATATCAAGTAAAATATAAGCTGATACAATGTGTCTCACATGTACGTATAGTTAGTTATTCATGCTCTTTTAGCAGCTTCTTGGTCAACTTTCAGTGTAATTCTCACAAATATATAGCAGCTCAAACAAATGCAGGAGCACAATGGTAAAGTTTGGCAATTTTGGGGTAGAGGTTACTTATGAGTATTAAAAGAAAACTTTATATATCAGTTTCACTCTGATGTAAGCCACTGCAATATATTAGTCTTTATTGACACTGAAATCAATGTCCAACTAATAGAAATAAGGAAGAAAAGACAGTTTTAAAATATTGTTGCACTATAGGTATATTTTAAGAGTCAGAAAAAATAAATAAAATTTAAATAATTCTACATGTGTCCACGTGGACAGGGACATAACTAATCCATGTTAACTTAATTCATTTTAAATTACATCATTAAATAGTGTTCCTGCACTTGAATAAGAGAGAGAAGGTAAATAAATAAATTTTAGTCTGTCAACATATTCCAAAAAGGAGATTTCGTTTAGTGTTACTTTGGTCATTCATATAAAATTTCTATATGAAAGAATCAACTAGTTTTTCTGTTCACTAATCTATAAGCCCTAAATGAAACTATAAACTGTGATGAAAATGCAAAATACTTAGGCAGTTATTTAACACAACTGAGTATCTAGCCAAAGTCAGAAGAGCACAGGCAAGAGCAAGTTACTGCCTTGGACCTGTGGTCCAACACGTGCTTTCCACAGACGGGAGCAGAATGAAGAGAACATGCGGCAGATTCTTACTTGGCTTCATTCTTACTACATTTCTAGGGGCACGGAGTAAATTTACATACTATTTTGTCGGCATCTTGAAAAATCAATTTGTTTGGATCTGGTATGGAGTGCGTATTCATTAGCATATGTTCATGCACCCCTAGCTATGACTGTGGCTGGGTAGATTTCACAAAGTAATTCCAGGTGCATACACTTTTGGACAGTATAATAAGAAAGAAGTCTTGGCAAAGAAGGTGAGGTGAGGCACAGGGGATGAACTGGAAAAGGCTGCAGGTGGCTGTGATAGCGGAGGGAGGCAGGATCTAAGCCTCCACATGGCTGTCACTTTGTTTGCTAATAAAAAAGCCCTCTCCTGGGCTGGTGGATGTGATTCTGATTTTACTTCTTATTTATTTCCCGTGACTGCTTCCTTTAAATGCTAGTTTTAAATATTATGACTTAAGTTGACGTTGCTCACCATGGGCTCCTCCTGCCCTTCAGGCAAAGAGACTGCATGGGAAACGCGGTGACCCTTTCTATGAAGCGCAGGAGAATCACAACCTGATCGGTGTGGCCAATGTGTTCTTGGAGTGCCTCTTCTGCGACGTGAAGCTGCAGTATGCAGTCCCTATCATCAGCCAGCAGGGGGAGGTAAGGACAGGCCAGCCTCAAAAAAAAAGGAGGTTTGAATTTCTTAAGGCTGTCTTAAGGTAAAGCAAGAAACAGGTGAATGGTCAATTGTCTGCATCCTTTTTCCTGTATTAACTGGCATTAGAAACAGAGTTAAGGCATAGTCTTAAAAGATAATTATAACACATTCTCATATTTGTTACTACAAGTTTTTTCTTTGTTTAATCAAATTGGAGTTTTTTAAAAACCAAATTCAGCTTTGTGGGCCATATTAATTTCTCTTTTTACAGATAACCTTGTACCTTTTTTTTGGGGGGGGTTCCGGGGATCAAACTTGGGTCCTTGCACTTGTGAAGCAGGCACCAGAACCAGTGGGCTAAATCCCCGGCCCAATAATCTTGTACTTTGATGATATACTCTAGTTCCTTCCTGGTCTGAAATGGTCTTTACAAGATATAGTTCAGGAGCATTATTTCAAAATCCAAAGTATTCAGGAAAACAAGCTTATTGTTATCACCCTCTAAACTCTCATATTTCACTTGTTTAGATATATTGACCTTAGGAAAACATTAAAGTTCAAGCCTTTTTTTTTTTTTTTTTGAGAAAGGTCTTACTATGTACCTCAGGCTGGCCTCAGACTCATAGAGATTCTCCTGCCTCAGCCTCCCAAGTACTGGGATAACAGGTGTGCACCACCATTCCTGGAAAAATTCAAGCTTTAAAAAAATTTACTCATTTTGTCAACTGACTTTTTATTTTTAGTTAATATCTTTTCATCCTAGCTTAGCTTATATAACATACAGGTTGAACTACCAAGTTATTTCTTGTGACTTCTATACCAAAGTAGGAACAAGATGCTATTCTCTCCAAATTGAAACTGGTAAATAGACCCGAGTTGCCAGCTGTGCAGGATAAATCCAAAGCCCGTGCCCACTGTGGTTACCCTCCTGCAAACGTTCGGCTCAGTGGTCAGCATTGCCTTTTCCCATGTTAAGAAAGCATACAGGGCTGGGAATTTAGCTCATTGGTTCCCACCGCCTTCCTCACAAGTGCAAGGTCCAGAGTTTGATCCCCAGTACCAAAAATATTTTTTAAAACTTTTAACTCATAGCTTAGTAGTCTTAAACTGCAGTCTGGTAGCCTTTGGGTATTACATAAATCCCTCTGAAATTTCACTGAAAATGTATTTGATTCTCAAAATAAAAAAATTGAAAGTGTGAGCCACTCCCTTCCAGCCGAGTTATCTTACTTCCTCCCACCCTCACAGCTTCCTTCATATTTGTCTCGCTTGTCAAATATCATCAACTAACTCCTCTCAGATTGTTAGTGCCAGCGTCAATTGCTGTGTAGACGTTGGGTCTGAACTACCTTCAGAAATAACCTTCACCATTGAGGGTGGCAGCAGCACTACTACTGGATTGTGTGTCACCTTCCCAGCAAGTCGTGGTGACCTTGAACTGCGATGCGAACGAGAACCTAACCAGTTTAAATGCCTGAGGGTATCCCACAAATTTCAGGATAACCCTAGTACACAGCTTTAAGAGGAATATTGTTGAACTGGCCTCTATCCAGAGCTGCCATGATAGTGAGGAAATCTAAAGCCTTTTAACAAAAACAGCTTTAAAAGAACTGTTTCTTCATATCTGTGTGGCTTTCTTCGTGCCATTCTTCATGGAGTACATCTGGTGTTCTTCATACTGCTCCCAAGATGCGTTTGAACAACTGGTTTACACTGTTGTTTCTGAGTTTTAACTTCTTTATCTTTCCCTACTTGACCATGTGCTCCCTGACCATTGCCAGTGTCTTTAATTTGGTGTCTCATGAAGCATGTTTGATCACATGAATAAGTTAACGGGGCATGTGGTCAACTGAATACGCCTATGAATATGGAAACAGGGAAAATAGGTGGATCCCACAGGAACCTGACAGCTCCCTGGTCTGTCTTGAAGAAGAAGGATAAGGCTGATTCAGAGTAAGGCAGAATAGAGTCAGGGATGAGGACTGGGCTGTAGGAGCCGCAGGTTTCTGGCGATGGCCCAGCAGCAGCCATGAGGGGCTCCCTGGGTCGTTGCAGCGTCCGTGCTGTCTCAGCGCAGGTGCCCGTGGGATGCCTTTTAACTCCGAGGTACTCCGGTTCCCTGACCCAGGTTGCGGGCCGTCTCCACGTGGAGGTGATGCGCGTGACCGGAGCCGTCCCGGAGCGTGTGGTGGAGGACGACTCCTCTGAGAACTCCAGTGAAAGCGGGAGTCTGGAAGTCATGGACAGCAGTGGAGAGATCATTCATCGAGTCAAAAAGCTGACCTGCCGGGTGAGAGGACAGTTGAGGCCACTCCTGTTGACAGCCTTCTTCGTGCAAACTAATTCTATAGAAACAATTAGGAGAGTTTTTCCATCTAGCAGAGTAAAAATTGAATTATCTAAAAGTGCCCCAAACTGTGCTCTTTCTGACAGTTACCTAAATTCAAAGAGTGTATCTGTATAGATATATTCCTCCCTCAGTACCCATGGGGCATTGCTTCTAGAGTGTCCTGCAGACACTGGAATCCACAGGTGCTTAAGTCCCTTATATAAAGTGGCGCAGTATTTGCATAGAATCTACAGACATCCTAGCATATACTTTAGCCTCTAGATCATTTGTAATATGAGAATAGTTGTTATTTATGCTATATTGTTTAGGAGAAAATTATAAGAAAAATGTTTATATGTGTTCAACACCAGCACAGTTTTTTTTCTTCCAAATATGTTTAATCTGCTTTGATGAAGTGTGCCAAAGCCATAAATTCACATGTGTATCAGAAATTAGTCATTAGGAACATTTCACAGAGACGTGTGTGCATGTTGCCAAGTTTATATGCTATATAGTTGGAGAAAAGTTGTACAGATTTTGTTATGGAGAGAGCCATTAATGAAATGATGTCAAATATTTTCAGATGTCAAATGAGTGATTGATTTTCTTCATCACCTACTCGTGAATTTTTGTTATTGGTGGTTGTGGTGGTGGTTTTTTTGGGTCTTTTTGGTACCAGGGATTGAACTCAGGACCTTGCACTTGTGACACAGGCGGCGGAACCACTGAGCTAAATCCCTGGTCCCTGGTCCCTTCATCACCTACTCTTTTTTTTTGGTTTTTGGTTTTTGGGTTTTTTTTTGTTTTTTTTTGTTTTTTTTTTGGTACTGGGGATCGAACTCGGGATCATCACCCATTCTTAAATTTGTGATAACTGAAATTAAGAATGTATAGTTTTAACATCTCTATAAGAATTATATTTGTGTTTTTTAATCTCTGCAGGTAAAAATCAAAGAAGCAACTGGGCTGCCCTTAAGCCTGTCAAACTTTGTCTTCTGTCAGTACACGTTCTGGGACCAGTGTGAGTCCACTGTGGCTGCCCCCGTGGTGGACCCGGATGTGCTGTCCCCACAGACCAAGGATGCCCAGTACACGGTGACCTTCGCTCACTGTAAGGTACAGATGCCACTGCAAAGTGAGCTCCACAGGACAAGGGCATTGGTGCAGTTTGAAGATCTAATTGTAACTTAGCCGTTTCCCAAGAAGAATTTGCATTAAATGTAATGTCCTGTTAGACTTTTAACCTCAAAAAGTACTTCATTAAAAATCTAAACATAAAGAACCTGGGAATTTAGCTCAGCGGTTCCACCTCCTGCCTCACAAGCGCAGGCACCTAAGTTCTATCCCCAGTACCAAAAAAAAAAAAATCCAAATATACTTAGAAATATTTAAAATCTGAAAGATCTCAATCTTCAATCTTATTACATAGAAGTATAACTTTTACTGTTTGCTACATATTGTAATATTTCCTGTACTGTACAGCTTGCTTATATGTGTGACAGCCACTTTTACCTCAAGCACATATAACTTTGAAAAATATTTTACAGAGGTGGGATTACATTATGCTTTTGTAGAATTCTGGGTATCACAACATCTAAGTTGCTACAGATATTTCCCATTATCTTCACTATTTCTTGGCATGCCAAGCTTAGTATTTTAATATACCATATGAGGTTTTAAAGAAAATAGAAAATCGAAAAGATGAATCTGTGGATGGACCTACCTTAGAACACTACCTACCCTTCCTGGTCTTCACAAGAGACTGTAGTCAAGTCATTTCTGAAAGGCCAATTCTATCCTTCCTTTAATTTGCTTTTCCTGGTCAGTCCTTAATAGATACTCAAGACTACTTCCTTTGTAAATTGTGCCTTTTCTTTCTGCCTGTACAATAAGAAAACAAACACAGTGATACCTCAGTTGTCAAACGGCTCCGAGCTCAAACTTCACACTACTCGAACAGCAAAGTTTAAAAGTAATCTGCTTGGTGTTCATAACTTTGCTCAGTAGTCGAACTGAAAATCCAATGTGAAGAAACCATCACAGGCCAAGACTGAGTCATGTACCACAGCTCAGTGATGCTTCAGTCTAAGTGCCGCCCGTGCCCAGACAACATACAGTGCTTGTGTTCGTGCCTTACAACATTCGTTACTTGGAGTTATTTTGTGCCTTATTTGCATAAAATATCATAACCATGGCTCCAAAGAAAGTGATGTCAGTGGTAAAGCTAAGAGGACAACTGTGAGAGCCATGATAGACTTAAAAGAATAAGACCATTGTGAAATTTGTTAAAGTCCTGGAAAAATGAGTTTATAAGTGTCATTTTGGGCCTCAGAAGCAATTATTGGTTTTCCATTATTTCATGTTCACTTCTCAGACTTTTTGGTATTTCAACACAAATTTGGATAGAATTGAGTTCGACAAGGGAAGTATCACTGTGTATTACCAACTGTAAAATTTCACATGTATAAACCTGTTAAATCTTTCTTTTTCTAAAGATAAATATCTTACATCTCCTTACCAGAATTCACCAATCCTATTTCTCAAGATCTTAATCATTTTTTGGTGTTCTACAAATATCCTTTTAAATATTCCTGATCTTTCTTTGTATCCACACTGCTGTTTATTTAGAAGGATGACATGTAATTTAGGTACATCCTGGTTAGCAACTCCTCGACATATACTATATAACATATAGTCCAGATCCTAGAGTTTTTTTCCTTAACTAAAATGTATAGATTGAATTAATTAGTCATTAAGTTTGTTTTCTTTCTATAATTCTGGGTCTATCTTCAAATACAGTAAGAATGTAGCTTAAATCAATATGGCATAGCTGTACCCAGAAATAAGAGTCACAGACCAACTCACCTGCAAGTCAGCACTTGACAGTTCCACTGAGAGGATACTGGAAAGGAAATCAGCCTGGTTCCTTGCCTCCTGCGTGGTTCCAGGTGATCTGTTCCGCCTCTCACTCAATTCAGTGTTCCTTTCCACGTCGGCATCTGTTTGTGTTTTAGAATGGGAGAATTTAAGATCACGAGCATAGGTCATGAAGAAAATCATAGAAGTGTCACTCTGCTCTTGTCTCTTATACCGTGGCAGAAGGCGATGGTTGAGCTAGTCCACGGCAGCACAAAGGCAGAGCAGGATTGTGGGCTCGGAATGAGCCTTGTGGACTAGAATCTAGATTGACCTCTGGAGTCAACAACAGAGTTTGACTTTGGTCAAGTAGCTTTCTTCAGCTTCCTCATAAAACAAAGGGGTTAAATTAGACTGCCTTGCATTGTCCCTTCTGGATCTAAATTCTGTGATTGCTGACATTTTTCTATCAAACAGAAGAGTTGGGTTCAAGGTTGAGATCAGGCTAATAATACATGCCAAAGAAATCGTATGTAGGTGAAAGGTAAAAGGCTCCTTCCACAGACTCCTTATGCATAATTCTTGTTGCCCCTCACCTTCCGCTTGTCCCAGGACTATGTGGTGAACGTCACTGAAGAGTTCCTGGAGTTCATTTCAGATGGTGCTCTGGCAATTGAAGTGTGGGGCCACCGGTGTGCCGGGAACGGCAGCTCCATCTGGGAGGTCGATTCTCTTCATGCCAAGACGAGAACACTGCATGACAGGTTCGTCCTCAGCTGTGAGCTTTAGACCCAGGACGAGCCCTTGGACGGTGATTAAGAACACAGGTTTGGGATCCTGGAACCGCTACTGTTACTTTGGACAAGTTCCTCAACCTCTCTGAGCCTGTTTCTTCCTTTATAAAATGAGAATGATGGAAGGAACTACCAGACACAAATTCAGTGAGAAAGATCATTTATTTTAACAAATGAGACTGAAACACTTGTTTATCTACATGGAAAAAAATAAACATTGATTTTGTTTTACTCCATACACAAGAATGAATTTGAGATGGACCATAACTTCAAGTGCAAAAACTAACACTATAAATCTGATGGAAGAAAACAAAAGGATATCGTTACAATTTTAAGATGGTCACATATTTTGAGGCCACAGAAAGCACTTACTATAGAAGGAAAAAGTTTCACTTGGACCTTTTAAAAGCTAGTGCCCACCAAAAGACTAAAATAAATAAGCAAGCCATGATCTAGGAGAAAATAGGCAGTTTCTTTTTGAGTTGATGATTCACCTCTTCTGTGACCCAACAATCCCATCCCTAGGTATTTACCTCAGAAAATTAAAACATAAGTCCAGGAGTAAGAATTGTGTATTTGTGTTCACACAGCTTTATCTAGACTGTTCCAAAAACATTCCAAACAATGCAAATGTCCTGCAGGTGAGCAGATAACCAGTCATGGTATTATTTATACAATAGATATTACCCAACATTTAAGAAGAGAACTTTTCATGCCACTTGGTTGAGTCTCCAAAATATGCCAAATGACAGAGGCCAAGCCCGAAAGACTCCAAACTGTGTGGTTCCATTTTTGTGAAATTCTGGAACAGGCAGAGCTAATCTGTCAGGGAACCTGGCTGCCACAGGGGCGTGGGGTTTGAATGGAAGGGGCCTGGGCAAAGTTTCTGAGGCTGTGGTGAGTTGAGTACACAAATGTATGTGCTTGTTAGACCCTTTAAACTCTATTCTGGAGGTGTGGGTGGATCTAAGTTATACCTCAGTGAGATAAATGAACCAATACCACAGGGTCATGGATTGGCGAATTCATTAAAGAGGTAATCTGTGTGACATATCTGGCACAGTGCCCAGAGCATAGTAAGTGCTCAGTGAATGGTAGTTGTTATTATTACTAACTGTGCCCCTGGGCAGTGACACTTTACTTGTTGGGATGTATTCCGGCAGGTGGAATGAAGTAACTCGAAGAATAGAAATGTGGATCTCCATATTAGAATTGAATGAGTTAGGGGAATACGCTGCAGTCGAACTCCATCAGGCAAAAGATGTCAACACGGGAGGCATCTTTCAGCTTAGACAGGTAATACATTTGTTTGTTGTTTGTGTTTTTCATGTTTTCACTCTGGCATACAGTTTCTGGGAATTTTCTGATTTGTATCTCTGGTCCTTAATTTCTTTCCTTCATTTATTCCTTCTCCCATCCCACCCCATCCCCATTCCTGCCCCCCTCTGCCCCCAAACTTCCCCTCTACCTTGCAGGGCCATTCCCGTAGAGTGCAAGTCACAGTAAAACCCGTACAGCATTCGGGGACACTGCCACTCATGATTGAAGCCATCTTGTCGGTATCTATTGGCTGTGTAACTGCCAGGTCCACCAAACTCCAAAGAGGGCTGGACAGTTACCAGGTAAGAAAAACACACAGGGGCTGGGGATTTAGCTCAGCAGTTCCAGTGTCCACCTCCCAAGCACAAGGGCCCAAGTTCTATCCCCGGTACCAAAAAGAAAACACATCAAGAAATAGTACTTAATAAGAATTAGGGCTTGGGGTGTAATTCAGTGGTACAATGCCTGCCTAGCAAGCGCAAGGCCCCAGGTTCTGTCCTCACCAGCGTCAGGGGAGTATTGAGGGTGAGGGGACAGATGGGACCAGACTCAACCAGTGCAGAAGTAAGGAACTTAATAGTATATGAGTGTGACCTCTTTGGGAATGTAATAGAACCCTTGTTTTAGCCACATGTTTTCCTCTAATTCACACTTCTATTCATTGCCCTTTTTCTTGACCTAAGATACTCTGTATAGTATTAATTCTCTTTTTTTTTTTGGTACCAGGGATTGAACTCGGGTCTTTGCGCTTAGTATTAATTAATACTTTTATTTATAAATACACACATTAATGCATAATAGTCATTTACTTTAGGAAGGTTTTCTATCTGGCTCAAAATAGTTCAAACATTTGATATTGTGGCCTGGCCTGATCCACTTTTATTAGTGTCCTAAAATTGTTCCCTTACACTGTCATAGTGAACCAGTTTTCTGAAAGTTTTACTACTTTTTCAATTATAAAGCTGTCCTTATGATCGTTTTTTTCTATTACATCTCCCTTACCTGAATCTTATGTTCTCATTTAAAATTTTCAGAAAGAAATTAAGAATTAGTCTTTCTATTACCCATCAGACCTCTTGAGTTCTCTGAGAATAAACTTCTGATTTATGAACTTGCCCCAGCATGGCCTGAAAGAATGCATGTGTGTCACTATGTCCCCACTTACCACCACACCCACCTTAGGGACCAGGAGAGTAGCTGTTAATCTGGCTTTCTCACTGCCACATGTGATAGGCTCCTCTGTTTCTTGACAGAGAGAATACACCTTCCCCTTTGTTTCTCTGGCATAAGCCCAGCCGATCTTGAGATTGGTTCATCTTTTCTGTGTTTTGGCTTCATGGCATTTATATATAAGCTTTGCTGATGCTAAAAGTCAGAGTGAAGACTACTGGGTTTTGAGGAGGTCGTAGCTTCGTCAGACATTGCCAGGCTAGAACTCCCTTCAGCTCTCAAAAGTCTGTGCATGCTTCATTCAGAGTATGGAACAAAGGTGCAGGCAGGAGCAGCTGCTCTGTCAGGCTTCTCCTCTGGCTCAGTCCCTTCACTGGCATGCAGTTTCCGGGTCAGCTGCAGGGCCAGACTTAGAGTGAGGAGGCCTGGGTTCTTCCTTTGGCTCAGCTTTACTAAGTGGTTCCCTTAGCTGAATAATGTAATTTGGAGTTTTCTTTTTCCTGTCCAAATGGTAATTTTCTGAGATTCCTTTCTTTAAATAAAAATTTGAGGCTTAATAAATCTCTGGTCCTAGCTAAACATTGAGTTTGTGCATCTCAAACTATGACCTAACAGAAGGTGGATCAACTGTGTTCCCATTTTCCTAACATTATAAAGATTATTTGCTGTTTTTAAAAACATCATTGCCTTGAGTTCAAACTGGTTTTTGTCAAAATCTGAGCTTTAGAGTATTATTGCTGTATGTTCTGTTAAGAACATAGTACCAGGGGCTAAGGATTTAGCTCAGTGGTTCCGCTGCCTGTCTTGCAAGTGCAAGGTCCCGAGTTCGATCTCTGGTACAAAAAAAAAAGGACAAAGAACATAGTATCAGGGCTGAGGTGTATCTCAGAGGTAGAGTGTGTGGTTAACATGTGCAAGGCCCTAGGTTCAATATTCAACACCCAAGGCGGGGGGGGGCAGTACCAGCCTTATGAATGCATTTCTTTTCCTCTGCTGTCATGCCCAAGGCTACATGTATTAACATAGTACTTTGGAATTATTCTAAGGCCATAAAAGAAGCCAATACATAGTCTACTGATGTCACAATTGTTACAACATAAAACCTTGATGGAAGTGCTTCCTTATTCTGAAAAGTTAATTTTGTATTAGAGAGTTTGTTCTTTTACATTAAGAGTGACCATTAGTTCAAGAGAAATCATTGCAGGATTAGGCTTGCCTTTAATAAATTAGTCATAATTGATAATGATTGTTACTACACTTTTTTTTTAAGTGTAGACATGAAAATGATTTAATGTTTTTTTTGTTTCGTTTTGTTTTGTTTTGTTTTGTTTTTGGTACCAAGGATGGAACTCAGGACCTTGCTCTTGCCAGGCAGGCAGCAAAACCACTCAGCTAAATCCCTGGCCCTAATTTAACTATTTTTAAGCATATTTTTCAAGAAGGGTTATTATCTCTTACGTAATTAAAAAGATTTAGTCATAAATTGAAATAAAAGTTTTCCAAGGAAAATTGTCTCAAAGCTCTTATTTTCAGCAAAGTATTTTATTTTTGCCTTATGTTTTAGCAAAAGTTGTTACTTTATGTTGCCCTGTGTTTGGGACAGTTGTGATTCTCTCAGCTGATTGTTACAGTCAACAAAGGATGCTAACAATCCATGCATTCAACACAGTGTGCTGTGCTTTTATGGCACTAGCTTAGTAACAGACCTTCTAGGTATGTGGTCTTGGGTTCCTCTTAATGAGTTCACGCATGAGAGCAATAGATGCTAGGAAAAGTCACTGAAGTCAGATATTGAAGGCCAAGATTCCAGTGTGATCCTCGGGTTAATTCATCCCGTCCTACAGAACCTGTTTCTTCCTGGCCAAATCCAAGAGAATCTCTAAAGTCCCTTATGGATTTGCCATTTTGTCTTCCTAACCCTTTACAACTTAAATAGCCTACCCATCAGTACACACGACCTGCCTGTCTGCATAATAATGGCATAGGAGCTGGCCCAATACTCATCTAAGAAAGATCTCGGGTTTATTTTTCCTTACTTAAAAAATTCTTTAGGTCTGGGGCTGTAGCTCAGTGTTAGAGCCCCTGCCTCGCGTGTATAAGGACTTAAGTTCAATCCCCAGCACTGGGGAAAAAAAGAAAAAAGGAAAGGAAAGGAAGGATGGTTGGCTTTATAGAAAAGTGAATTAAGCCCATTAAACCTTTTTAAGATTCAAGGAAATGTTTTATTGTACTGATGTTGTGTGAGCCATTGTAATATGTGTGCCATGTTCAAAGAATGATTTTCCCTGTGTGCTGTTTGAGAAACAAAATGCATGTCCTTTATGTTTATTTTTTTCCTACCAGAGAGATGATGAGGATGGTGATGATATGGATAGTTATCAGGTATTGCTACTGCTGTCAATCCTGTGGCATGGGGCACAGCTATTGCTAATTGCCAACATTTTGCAAAGCAGAAGCCAGGGAGGAGAAGGAAGGACCGTAGAGCAAGGATACGCAGTTTCTCACTTGCTTTTGATTTGCTTTGTTTGTAATCAGCGATACAATACTATTTCTGTTGATTTCCTTATCAATTCAAATTTTTTAAACAATTATTGCATTTTTGATACACTATATTGAATTACCAGCTTGTAAAGCCTTGCTCAGGAAGTCTATTATCACTGCATTAAAACTGATGATCTTAAACATTGCAGTTATCCATCCAGAATCTTTAGATGGACTCATCTTTCCTATGCTAAACTGTACTCTGCTTCTCACATCCATGAGACAAGCATTGTTCTGCCATTTTACTTTAAGAGACTTTTCCTGGATAGGAAGTTTGGAGACATTCTATGCATATAGCTTTGTTTTGTTTGGTTTAGCCAGTTTTCTCCTCTTATTAAGATCAAGCTTTGTTCTCCACAACTTTAGAATTTAAATCTCAGCCTTTTCTTGTTGGGAATATCGGGGAAATATGTATAAATGTGAAATATTTACTGAGTCATGCCTGAGTGGCCTGTTGCCATGGAATGTGGGGTGAGGTAGGCGTGGTCAAAGTAGACAGCAAACCAAGATGAAGATTTCTGGGTTTGGTCCCCAGTGTTTGTGCTGCTTCTCCACATGAGTTAAAAGGATGTTTTGCAATGTGCCTTGCTGTATGTAAAATGTGGGTACATTGTGGGAAAAGCTTCAAAGGTATCTGATCTTAATGTAATGTCTTTGGGGCGAGACTAGAATTAGGCCATTTTGAGTAGAATTGATGGATTTTCTTTCTCTGCTCATAATTTTACTAAGAAAGCAAACAAAAACCAACTCTAGGAGAGGAGTCAGTGTCCCTTTGGATCTCAGTGATCCCATTGACTAACATCTTGTGGCTTTTTGCGTGCTTCCTGCCACGTTGTTCGCAGTGAAGTCCAGTGGCTGCTTTGGGGATTTCTTCAAGCATGGCTGACTGCATGTTGGGTTTTGCATGGGAACTCTGGGGTTAGCCTCATGGTGGTGGTTGGAGGAACAATCTTTGCAACAAGTTTGAAAGGTTCTCTGCTGACCTGCTTGCATTTCAGAAAGTACGTGTTCCCTGACCCTTGAACTGTGAACTGTGACAATGTCATCCATTCCACTAGATGTTATGTGGTTTGAGTTCTGTTCATGGTGACCTTCTGCTTGAAGTCATTGAAAAGCTGTGCTTTCGGCATATGTGCATACACAGCATAAAAATACTCCAACAGCTGGTATAGTGTGAGCTTGTCTTGCTTTTGAGAATAATTATCCCTTTGGAGATCCAGGGGCTCTGATTTCAGTTACTGGCATCCTTGATCAGCATGCAGCGTTACTGAGGCCTCTGCTTTCCTGCATATTAATCACACAGCAATGTTCAATGGCCTTTCCTAATGAAAATTTTTCCTGAGTAATTGAGATATATCTTTTAAAAATAACAAAGCAGTTGTCTATGCACTTTATAGGAAAATATTTCCCCTCCCTGTTGTCAGGAAGAAGACTTAAACTGTGTAAGAGAGAGGTGGTCAGATGCACTCATCAAACGACGAGAATACTTAGATGAGCAGATTAAAAAAGTGAGCAATAAAAAAGGTATGTGAAAGTAAATTAATGGGAGTATCTTTTTCCATTCTATGCAGCGGTAGTAGAGCATTTTCTTCCCTTAGCTAGATAGTAGTGTCTCAGATTCTTGAATTAGAAACAATTATAGATATTAGTGAATCTGATTGTACAGCATTGGTTTAAGGCTTTGAATTTGAATATAGTAAATTTTCATAAATCTCTGAGTTATATGACAAATCTGTTACATTAAATGTCATTCAACTTTTGCTTTGATGAGCACAGATGTGATCAATACCATTATGTCAATATGAGGCATGTCGGGTACCAGAATCTAAGATTTGCAGCAACTAAAGGCTTACTTATGAAACCATACCACTTGGCACCTAGCTCCTCTTGGGCAGGTCCCCTGAGCAAGTTCAGCCCCACTTAATGCCCAGGGGCGCACTTTGCTTATGCTACCAATGCACACCTGAAGTTTGCAGTAGAAATGTGCTCTTAAAACCCCAGTTTCATGGTCTATTCCTTGTGGTTGATTCTGCGCCAATAAACACATCATGAAAGTTAACCTGTGTTGTACAGAAGCTATCAAGAGATCTCCCTCGGGGAAACATCTTGGTCCAATGTGTGGTATCAGTCCAGGTATATGCTGAGTTTGCTAGTGACTCTGCCCAGAGAGCTCAGAGTTAATTATGGGTACTGGGATTTCAAAATATATAAAATAAAAATCCCCTTTGTAATGAGCATGGAGGAAAATAAAAAGGTTTTTCCTAGTAAGGTATGTGATATTTTTAAATCCTCTAAATGCCATATAGTTTTATGAAGCAATGTCACTATTGTTGTTTCATTTGATCATTCCACTGTGATCAAAAACACGAAGTGCATGAAGTCTTTACCACCGCTGTTTCGATGATTTGTCTTAGTGTCATGGCCTCTCCCACACTGGATGTTCATGCTTGACTTTCAGAGGCTCAAACTCTTTAGAACATGGTAGGTTTGTAAGCTACTTTGCCTGTCACTGAATCTGTTCCTTTTAAATTTAGACATTGTTGGGCCAGGGATTTAGCTCAGTGGTGCCACCACCTGCCTTGCAAGTGCAAGGTCCTGAGTAAGATCCCAGAAATAAATAAATTTATTTATTTATTGTGCCTTCTTTCTTGCTGGTGCTCACCCACTCACTCTCTTTTGCAGAGAAAACAGAGGATGATGTGGAGCGGGAGGCCCGGCTTGTGGAGCAGTGGGTGGGACTAACTGAGGAAAGGAATGCGGTGCTGGTGCCAGCCCCAGGCAGTGGGATCCCCGGGGCACCTGCTGATTGGTAAGGCCTCCCTTCCTTCTCCACCATCCTGGTAGGGGTGCAGCTTGCCTGTGGCAAGAGCCAGGCCACTGCTTTCTAGTATCATCACAGTAAATGCCAATGGACCGAGTGGCTCAGTGAGGGGTACCCATCTCTAGTACTCTCGCCCCTTTCTTCTTTCCTCACTGCAGCCTATTTCCTCCACCAGAAGCCAGGCTGCATGGGCAACCTGGCCAGGAATCAGATGCAACGCTTCTCTGTTCTCTAATAAGCAGCTTGGACACTGTGTCCTCATCCCCAGAAATAATTCTGTTTTGGCTCCAAAGAAGGATGTTTCCAAAGTATTCTTGAAGAGGGCAGAAAATACTTCTTTTTTTTTGGTACCGGGGATTGAACTCGGGTCCTTGCGCTTACAAGGCAGGCCACTGAGCTAAATCCCCGACCCTTGGAAATACTTCTTTTTATTTGCCTAGTATTTGCTTAGTTTGGCAACTAGCATAGTGTAAGCACTTAGCACCACTTAATCAGTCAACTGACTTGTAATCAATCCTAGATGTATTCACGACAAATAGCCTGGCGTGCTGGGCTCTGGAGGGAAACATCTGGATCTAGTTTCCAGCTTTAGCTCTTGAGGGAATACATGTTTCCTTAACTACTCTGAGGCTTCACACCTGTTCTTTTAATGGAGCTACCTTTGTAATAGTGATGTGAGCACTGCAGATAATGTATATAAATACTTTGTATATATGGCAATACCGTTGTGCATATTACAAAGTATATAAAATATCTCTGTGCCCATTCATTAAATGGTAGCCATGGCTGCTTCTTATTCTCATTCTTATGATAAAAATATGTCCCAGACATTTAAGGAAAAACAGATTCCCTTTGAACGTAAATTTACATGCCTGAATAGTCTCTTTTGAACAGACACAGAAACATTAATATATTATTTGTCTCTACCCATAAATGGAAGTGTAACCAGTTTCATGTTCTGCTTTATGAAACTGGAGAATCTGAATTTGCAGGCATATTAACTTGTAACCTGTTGTTTCTACCTGCAATGCAGTCTCTCTGTCATTCCCAGCCTCACCCTGTTCCTCAAACCCACTGTAGATAGTCTTAGCCAGCCCTAGTTACTCTGATTCAGAAGAGGCAGGATGGGCCCAGGACTCTTTCTTTGAAGAGGCCTCCAGGTGATTCTGGTGTGGCTGGGCCAAGTGTCACATTGCTGTGGCCTTCCCTGTGCACAACCCCACCTCTTCCACGTAGCTCTTCCTGTGGAGCTTTGAAATATTGTCTCTCTTTTGTTTACTTCCTCTAAGCCCTCATCCATCCCATCACTACTAAGAACACTTCTATCCTTGGGCCTTTCTCTGGAATTATCTTTAGAAAGCTCTCAAATAACCTTTGTCTCAATCAATCACATGCAATTCTCATGGTGTGTGTTAGCAGGGAGGTCATGCAGTATATTTCATGAATAGGACCTGCATCTCCACGGGAGTTTTTTTTTGTTTTTTGTTTTTTTCCTGCTCCCATGGCTCTAAAGCATTTTATAATCTAGTAAAACAGAAAACATGTTTTTTGGGGGTAGCATCTTGCTTGTTGTAGTCCAAGTTGGCCTTAAGCTTACTGTGTAGCCCAAGCTGGTCTTGAACTTGCTGTGATACAACTCCCTCAGCCTCCCAAATTCTGTGGTTACAGGCACGTATCACCATGCCCAAGTAAATTTGAAACATATATTTTATTATTAAATTTAGGGTTCCACCTTCCGGAATGGAAACCCACATACCAGTTCTCTTCCTTGACTTGAACGGTAAGTAAATCTTTCATTAAGATTTGTCACGTATTCAGGTGTAATCTGATCTGTAAGCTATTTTTGCGGTTACATGCCATCCCTAGGTGTCCAGTCACATATGTATAAGCATGACATGTGGAATCACTGGGGGAGAAATGTGGATATTTGTTTAATGACAAAATGAGATCACATGGGGAGATTGCGAAGTACATATGAGAATACTAAAGCAGTTGATCTGAAACATTAATGGACAGAGAAATTACCTGGAACAGTCATGCCCAGCGAGTCTGACCCACTAGGCTTAGAAAGGCCCTGTCTGCATTTCTCTTTGCTCCCCAAGTATTTTTGTTGCCAGCATTGATCACACTATGAGTTTGCATTAAGAGCTGTTCTTTAGCACAACAGTTAAAATCTAGGAAAGCTAGAGCAATGGTTTTCAGTGTGTTTAGGAATACAATTCTTTTCTAAATGAAATCTCAAATGGAAACTCCATGCATAAAAGTAAAAGCACAGCTGCTGAGTTTGGGAGGGGACAGGCTCATAACAGGTCCTCCTGCAGAACCCTAGGATGCCTGAAAATCACTTGAAAACATCTGCTGTGGAGAAAAGGTCAGTAAGGATGAACGGAAGACAGAGGGCGTTTGGCTTCAGCTCATTGTGTGAAGAATTTTTGAAAGACTAGAATTAGAATGTGTGCTTTGTGAAGTGGTGAGTTCCCCGTTATTGTCAGTATGCAAGCACCAGCTGGTTGGCCACTTACAGATTCTTTTCAAGGGTTAGCCACATTGGATAAAGCTTTGGATTTCTTCCAGGTGCTCAGAACTTTGACCTTAAGTTGATAATTTAACTGCTAATATTCAATTTAATGTAAGTTATTTAAGTAGGACAACAAACATTAGGTTCCAGGCGGAGTTGCCATCAAGAAAGCAGCAAAATTCTAAGGTGTGTTAACTGAAAACACTGCCCTAGGACTATGGGGAGTATGTGTTCCCTCTGTTCTGTGGGACACTCAGAAGGCACCTGCTTGGCTCTTACCATTTCTTTTTTTTTAATGGTGCTGCAGCTGAACCGAGGACTCATGCTCAGCAAGTACTCTACCACTGAGCTACATTCCCAGCCCCTCTTATAGTTGCGTTTAAAGAATAAGATCTGTTGCGAGTGTTGGAGCATCTGTTGCATTTGTAGATGAAGAGTAAAAAAAAAAGCTGTTTGTAAACTTCAGGTGTAAAAAGCATATTTTGGGGCTGGGAACATGGCTCAGTGGCAAAGCTTGTGTTGAGCACAAATGAATCCCTAGGTTCAATCCGTAGCATCACTAGAAAGAAAAGCACATTTGGTACATTTTTGGTGTTTGCTTAAAAACTGACTTACACCCACTTTTTCTCCTGTGCTGTGAATTTGGTCAGCGGATGACCTCAGTGCCAGCGAGCAGCTCGTCGGCCCCCATGCTTCAGGCGTGAACTCCATCCTGCCAAAGGAGCACGGCAGCCAGTTTTTCTATCTGCCCATCATAAAGCACAGCGATGATGAGGTACTTAACCCTGCAGGCCCCAGGAAGGGCTGCAGCTCAGTACATGAGCCAGTGGGCCTGTCCACCTGGTAAACTGCTGAGTTCTATTTTGGGGAAGAGGACTGGGGACTTTTAAGCAATAGCACAACTGTGTAAATGTTCAAAAGAGGTGAGAAAAGGTATCCAGTTCATTATGTGGAGTTGAGTTTTTCTTTTCTCTAATGTGTAGTGTGAAATGCTATAACCGAAGTCAGCTTGTTTCCATCTCCCATCACCCTCACCCCTAGGTGTCAGCCACGGCCTCATGGGACTCCTCGGTGCATGACTCTGTCCACTTGAATAGGGTCACACCGCAGAACGAAAGGATTTACCTCATTGTGAAGACCACTGTTCAGCTCAGCCACCCAGCTGCTATGGAATTAGTGCTACGGAAACGGATTGCGGCCAATATCTACAACAAACAGGTAATGGTGAGGACTGGCCCTGTTGTGTCTGGAAGTCACAGGTGGCTCTTCTGTCTATCACTAGTGTGTTTTGTTGGCACTGATATGGGGGATGTGCAGAATGTGACTGCAGTGGCCAGGTTAGCGTCTGACTCTCGTTTATGCAGGGTATGGTAGCTCACGAGGACCTGGGAGGTATGGGTCATTCCCCAAAAAAGACTTTACCATCTTACTGATATGGAACCTGTCATCCTGGCAGGCAGTGGCTATGAGTTTTCTATATTTAAAATGTGGAAACACTGAGACTGGGAGGTTAAGTACTAGGTCTAGTCAGGTGGTGACCAGCCAGGGCAGAGCAGACTCCAGATAGATCCCTACCCTCTGCCTTGCCAAGTGTCCCCGCAAAGGTACTGTCACCAAAGTGGGTCTCCCCAGTGTTCCTCTGACTGGAAACCCCGGGGAGATGATGTTTATCGGACGGACGAGAGGAAAAACTGCAGAGGCCCGGAAAGTGGAGCCCACTTTGTGGCAGATCCCCAAGTAACAGAAGGACACCGTTGTCACTCAGGGCTAGGGGCAAGGGTTTTAAGTTCAAGGCTGTTTTCTGTTTTGCTGAATATTGTATGGGTGTATAAGAAACAGCAATTTATAATGCTTTTAGAATTTATTAAATTCTAAACATTCATCACAAATTTAATCCAGTTTTCCTTTTCCACCAGAGTTTTACACAGAGTTTGAAGAGGAGAATATCACTGAAAAATGTATTTTATTCCTGTGGTGTAACCTATGAAATAGTATCCAATATACCAAAGGTAAAATATATACTACTTTTTTATTTTTGCCATGGTGGGGATGTAACACACAGCCTCACATATCCTGGCCAAATGCTTTGCACACCTCCAGCCGTATAGGAAGGGTGTTTGTTTTTTTTGAAGGGGTGGTTACTAGGATTTGAACCCAGGGCCTTTATACTAAGCTACATCCTCTGCCCTTTTCTACTATTTTTTTACTTTGAGCTGGGCAAACTGGCTCACGCCTATAATCCCAACACTTGGGAGCCTGAGGTAGAAGGATTTCAGCGAGCTAAAGGCCAGCCTTGGGATACACATGAATTTGAGGCCAGCTTGGGCTGCATAATGAGTTCAAAGCCATCCTGAACTCAAAGTGAGACCCTGTCTTAAAAAATAATAATTTTAAAAGTTTATTTGTTGTTTTTTAGGCAGGGTCTCACTAAGTTGCTAAATTGCCTGGGTTCCAACTCACAGTCGTCCTGCCTCAGCCTTCCAGTGTGCTGGGTTTGCAGGTGTGCACCGCCCTTGTGGCTCCTAATGTTGTGTTTTTTTGGTTTTTTTTTTTTATTACCGGTATAGAAATGATGGAGAACGTGTTCGTTCTGCATACTTGTAAGGCATTTTCTCACCACACTTGTTGAGTGAAAGTATTGTCATTTCCTTCCTGCCCCTTTAGGCAACTGAGGAGATCGAGGACCGGGAGACACTGGCCCTGCTGGCTGCACGCAGTGAGAACGAAGGCACCGCGGACGGGGAGACGTACATTGAGAAGTACACACGGGGTGTGCTGCAGGTGGAGAACATCCTGAGCCTGGAGAGGCTGCGGCAGGCGAGTACAGCTGCAGTGCGAGGGCTTCAGAGCCAGCCCCGCAGACAAAGCTGAATTTGTGCACGAAATGCCTCCCACTTGAAGGAGCGCTTGAGCAGCAATTTCTCTGGAGGAAGAACTCTGGCTACATACTACTAAACATAAAAAAATCGTGGCTCGTTTTCATTGCTGCTGAGCACTGTGCCTGAGGAATTTAGATACATTATTTCATTCATTCATTTGGTTTTCCTTTACTTTTTGAGACAGGGTCACCATGTTAGCCACCATGCCCAGCTAAATACATTATTTCGTTTAATCGTCAAGCTAACCCTCTGAGTGCCTGGATTACGCTGCAGTCCTCATTTGCAAGTGAGAACACTGGGGCTAAGGGTAGTCAGCCATGCTGCCCAGGGTGTGCAGTGTAGAAGTGGCCTAGGCTGACTGCAGGCCGGGTAGCTTGACCCCAAACTCCGTGTGTCTCCCTCGGGCCATTACTGTCTCCTTAAGTTTTGAGCTAAGAGGAGGATGTTCCAGTGAGAACATGCACTCAGGAATGGGACTCTGAGGACAGCTGCATGCCCTGTACTGGTCCCAGAGATGTAGTAGTTCGTGGAAAGTGTGTGTTGATCGACAGAATGAGAATCAGAAACCTCTTCCCTCCTTGAAAACCCTGCCTGAATTGCTACATGAGTAAAATACAAACTGCCGAACACTTCATTGTCATTTTACAAAGGAGATACAGAGCTGGAGATTAACTTCATATTCTCTGTGCCCTTGTTTTAAAAATTCACACCAAAAATGTCTTTTGCTTAGCAGGTTTCCTTGTTTTGGAACAAATGCTTTCAATAAATTGTCGGCGGGAGACGTGGGTGCTGTAGGATTTGTTTTGTAAATATGAACTTGTGTAGGTGTGGGTATACAACTTGAGTGATCTTTATTTCTGAATTTTCTAAGTTCACGAAGAAACACATGTTCCTTTTATAACCAGGTGAGCCAATAATAAGTGGTACCTTTCCATTGTTCCGTGTTCACAGGCCGTCACAGTCAAGGAAGCCCTTTCCACCAAAGCCCGGCACATTCGGAGGAGCCTCAGCACGCCAAATGTTCACAATGTAAGGACGCCCTGCTCCACGCCGGGACTCGGGACTGCGGGTAGGATGTGAGGGTGGGGTTCCCACAGTGGGAATACAACACACACGGAACAGGGACCCCAAAGTGCAAGGCGGCTTCTCTGTCCTGGGCAGCACACCAAGGCCAGGCCTCCAGACAGATACTCATTCCCGCCTTGTCTCTTCTTCAGTGGTTCTGACTGTCTTATAGTTCACCTAGAAAATTCAGTTCACAGAAACTCTTCTAGAGCAGGCCGTGGTGGCACGTGTCTGAAATCCCGGCACTCAGGAGGCTGAGGCAGGATCGCTGTGAACTGAAGGTCTGTGTAGTTCAAGGCTAACCTGAACTGCATAGGGAGACTTGTCTCAAAAGCAAAAAAAGAAAAAAGAAACTGTGTCTAGCAGAGGTGGAAAGTGTGGAAAGAAGGAACAGATTAGTGCATGGACCACTTCAAAGCATTCTCTTCCCAGAAGCAACGGAGTGAAAGTAAGATCTTTGAAGGAACTGTGCAGGATTCTGTGCCTTCCTAATTTTCAGAACTGGCAGGAAATTATTAAAAACTTGGCGAACATTTATAAAAATGTCTTATAATTGGCCACAAAACAAATCACAGTAATCACTATCATACAGATTACTTCCAACCACAATGCAGTCATTAGAAATGAGACTCGTATAGTTGTAAGCTGAAAAACACACTCCTAATTAACTTGTGTATTAAAGAAGAGCTCATAATAAAAATTAGGATCTATTTAGAACTAAATGATAATAAAAACATATGTATATCAGTGCTTGTGAAATGCAGTTAAAATGTACTTGGAAATTATTAGACCCAGGGCTCAGTGCTACAGCACCTGTCCAGGAAGCAAAAGGTCCTAGGTTCGATCCCTGGTACCAATTAAAAAAAAAGAAACTATTAGGCCTAAATTTCCTATTCTTCCACTTACACACCACTACTAGACAGAGAAAATGAAAAAGCAAGAGCTATTACTAAGAAATGTATGGTGTTTGTATGAAAAAGAGTAAAACAGAGACAAATATCAGCTTAACAAAAAAGCTAGGCATAGTCGCATGTGCCTGTAGTCCAGCTAGTTGGGAGGCTGAGTCAGGAGGATTGTTTGAGCCCAGGAGGTGAAGGCAACATAGCAAGACCCTGTTTCAAAAAAAAAAGGGTAGACTATGTGCCCAGTATATATAAGGTCCTAGATTCAATTCTCAGGACTGAAACAACAAAAAATTTTCCAAAACAACTTAAGAAACAAGTTACGTTTTTGAACCTCACTGTGATGAAGACTCCACATCTAGCTACTAGGGCAGAAGACAGTGTTCAGTGACACCACATGGATTCAGTTAGCAAAATCCAGACTGTGGGAAACTTTACAGGAAAAAATCCTGATTTTTAAAACAAACTTAATTAGGCTGTTTAAAGCAGATTAAATTTCAAACAAAGTAAATTTTTAGAAAAAGGAAGAACTCACCAGTTAAAAGACTTAAATGTATATCAGTCCATTACAATGTTATGACTATTTTGATCCTGAAATTAGTTCAGAAAATCAGAATACATTCAGATAGAGAGGAACATTAAAAACCAAAGTAGAAAAACAATTTTAGAATAAATATATAAATATTTCTTTATTTATTTGGGAGGAGGTAGTATTGGGCAAGCATGGGAACCACTGAGCTAAATCCCCTGCCCCCTGGAGGTAGTATTAGGAACCAGACCCCAGGCTCTTGCTCTGAGCTATATCCCCAGCCCTATTTTTTGTTTGTTTTCTTTGAGATGAGATCTCACTAAGTTGCCCAGGCTGGGCTCCAACTTGTGATCCTCCTGCCTCAGCCTCCCAGAGTGCTGGGGTTACTGGCATGTACTACCACTGTAGGCAGCCTGCGAATAAGATTAGTTGATGAGAAGAAAATATGAAAGAAGATACAAACATTACTGGAAATAAGAATGGGGATATTGCTATAGAAAAAGCAGAGACTTAGGCAGAGAAGAGTGAACCATGAATAGTGTCACTCCACTACATATGAAAGCTTGAGCAAAATGGAAATTTCCTGGGAAATTTTTCAAGAAGAAATAGGAAACATGAATACAGCTATCACCTGAAAGAAAGCCTAAACTAAAATCATAACTATATTCATTGATGGTAATAGACAATATAAAAAAGTTGGCACATGAACTTAAAATTCATTATAGAGGTCTCTTACTTCCTTGGTTAGGTTAATCCCTAAGTATGTAATCTTTTATTGATGCTATTGTGAGTTATTGTTTCCATAATTTCTTGAGCTTATTATTGGTGTACAAAAATGCTACTGATTTTTGAGTGTTGACTTTGTATCCTGCTACACTACTGAGTTTGGTTATTAATCCTAGGAGTTTTTTTGTTTTTGTTTTTTGTTTTTGAGACAGGGTCTCACTATGTATTTGAGACTGACCTGGAACTCACTATGTAGTGCAGGCTGGTCTTGAACTCACAGTGATCCTCCTGCCTCAGCCTCCCGAGTTCTGGGATTACAGGTGTGCGCCACCACGCCCAGCATCTAGGAGTTTTTTTGGTAGAATTCTTTAGGTTGTCTGTGTAGAGGATCATGTCATCTGCAAATAATGATAATTTGGGTTCTTCCTTTCCTACACATATCCCTTTTATTTCTTTCTCTTGCGTTATTGCTTTGGCTAATGTTTCTAGAACTATATTAAACAAGCATGATAGTGGGACATCCTTGTTGTGTTCCTGCCTATAAAGGGAAGGCTATCATCTTTTTCCCCATTTGAGTTGATGTTGACCATTGATTTGCTGTAAATCACTTTAATCAGATTGAGATAAGATCCTTCTATACCTACTCTTTTTTCCCCAGATTTTTTTTTTTTTTTTTTTTTTTGGTACTGGGGATTGAACTCAGGACCTTGTGCTTGCAAGGCGGGCATGGGAATCACTGAGCTAAATCCCAGGCCCTTCATCTCGTTCTTTTAAAATCATGAATAGATGTTGGATTTTGTCAAAGGCTTTTTCCTGAATCAATTCAAATGATCATGTGGTTTTTGTCTTTGCTTTTGTTTGTGTGATGTATTATATATATTGATTTGTGTTTATTGATTTCTAGTTTCATCACACTATGATCTGATAATTTTATCCCATTATCATGAGTTAATTATTTTTCTTTTACATTTATTGAAGCATGATTCATGGGCTAGCATGTGGTCTACTTTGGAGTAAGTCCCATGTGCTGCTGAGAATGTGTATTCTGTTGCTGAATGGAACACATGTCTTTTAAGTACATTTGTTCAAAGGTTTGGTTCACCTCATTTTTCTTTGGGGTTTTTTTTGTTTTGTTTTGTTTTGTTTGTCTACATGATCCATTTGGAACAGTGGAGTGTTGAGGTTCCCCATTATAAGTGTATTGGTGTTTCTCTGATCCTTCGTGTCAATTAGTATTTGTTTTATGAAATTGGGTATGCTGGTGTTTGGTGCATGGATTTATCATTGTTATCTCTTCTTGAATTTTCTCCCCATAACCAATATGTAGTGACCTTGTTTGTGTCATCTAATCACTGTTGGCTTGAAATTCACTTGATCTGAATTAAGCATAGCTACTCCTACGAGTTCCCATTTCATGGAATATTGTTTCCTATCATTCATTTCTAATATGCGAATTTCTTTTTCAACTAAATGCATTTCTTGCATACTGCATATTATTGGATTTTGTTTCTCACTCCATTTTACCAATCCACGTCTTTTGACTGGGGAGTTGAGACCATTCACATTGAGTGTTATGACTGAAAGGTACTGAGTTATTCCTGATTTTCCATTATGTTCCTGTTGCTGATTTCTATTTTTCCCCTTTTTCCTTAGCCAGGTGTATTCATTTCATTTGACTTATTAGCATTGTTGGCTTCATTGTCTCTTTCAAGGACATCCTTGAGAACTTTTTTAGGTGCTGGTTTGGTGGTCACAAATTTCTTGAGGTGCTTCTTGTCATGGAAATACCTTATTTCGCCACCAAATTTTTTTGTTGTTGTTGTTTTGTACCAAGGATCAAACTCAGGCTCTTGCACTTGCAAGGCAGGTGGCAGAATGACTGAACTAAATCCCTGACCCTCTCCACCAATTTTGAAGGAATGGTTTGCAAGATATTTACTGTATGTCTTCCAAAATAAGACAGACCTAGCTGGACTGAAGAATAATCAGACCGTAAAACTAGAGATAAAAATGTCAGCTCCAATCAACCTATTTTTTTTTTTCTTTCTTTCTTTTTCTGTGTTTTGGTACCAAGGGTCAAACTCAGGACCTTGCACTTGTGAGGCAGGGGCAGTGCCACTGAGCTAAATCCGCAGCCCCTCAATCAGCCTATTCTTAGCTTACTTGCCTTACAGAGTAGCCACTTAGCAGCAAAAGGATAGCAATGACAGGTAAGGCAAGGATATATTGACTGGGGCTGGCTTTTTTTTTTTCCTCGTACCAGGAATGGAACTCAGGACCTTGCACTTGCCATTCAGGTACTGCATCACTGAGCTACATCCCCAGCCCTTGGGCTGGCATTTTTTATCTCTAGTTTTCAAGGATGATTATTTTCTGGTACAGTTAGGTCTTATTTCCTCAAAAAAAGGGTAAGTTGGGGCTGGAATTTGTTATCTTTTCTAGCACTTGAAATGCTTTACTCCAAGCTCTCCTGGCCTTTAAGAGAAGTTGTGTTGAGAAGTCTACTGTAATTCTAATGGGTTTACCTTAAATATGGTTTATTATTTTTCTCTAACATCTTTTAACATTGCACCTCTGTAATGAACAATTATAGTGCAAACACTAAAGCGACCCAGGTCCTAATTTATAATTAATATGTACTAAATTAAACATATTTCTGCTAGTAGCAGAAAAGAATTAAACAGTAATTTTATAGAATTAACTAAAGATTAAGAAAGCTTGATGGTTATGTTATCAAAGGTACAGGGTGTTGGGAAAGGGGAAATGCAGGAAGAAAAATTTGAAACCTTGAACTTAGGATTGATCTGATGAGAGGGAAGTGGTGTGAGGGTTCTCTTGGTAACTAGGATGTTTATAAAATTAGGTAAAGGTTGGGCCAGGGATTTAGCTCAGTGGCTCTGCTGCCTGACTCATAAGCACAAGGACCGGAGTTCGATCCCCAGTACAAAACAACAACAGCAAAAAAATTGGGTAAAGGTAACGGAAAAATAGAATGTTAAAAAATTACATAGAAAATAAAAAGAAAAAACTAATGAGGAAAATTAGAAAGAAGAAGAGGAAAACAAAGAGAAAAAAATAAAGAGAGATGAGTAAGGAGAAAGGACAGAGGAAAATTCCCCATGCCCCAATAAACTAAGGGGGAAGAAAGAAGAACCACCCCCAATTTTTTTTTCCTCTTTGATTTTAAAGCAGCTTTTTCCTTCTGGGGGTCTAGCAATTGTTGTTTTCTGAGGCCCCTCTGCTTTTCCCAGGCTACTTCAATGTCCAAGTCAGGACACGTCCTGCTTACACTGATAAAGAAGGAGATCAAACTCCAGTCCATGCTCAGTATGGGCACCAGCAGGCAGTAGGGTGGGGGCTCCACTGCCAAGACTTTCAAATCCACAGCAACTCTGGCTGCATCTGGCCTCTGGCCATGGAGCGGGTGGGGAGCTGTGTCTTTCCAGGCTCAAAACCCTTAGGGCATTCTCTCTCCAGCCTGCTCCCTGAGGGCATCTGTCTGCTGTGGCTGTCCCTTACCCAGTCACTGTGGGAAGGTAACACTGAGAACCCTGAAGTGAAGCTACCCTGTGGCTGCTCCCAGTCCTGTGTTCAAACACTCAACTTTTCCCACGATGGCACCCAAGCCCACACACATTCTCCAGGGATGTGGGGCACCTGGACTGGCACTGCTTCCCAGCTGTTGCCTGTGGAAACAGTCTGGTGGGATTGCAGGGACTCCAGGCTGGCCCTGCAGATCACAGCAACCACCAGTCCATTCCACCTCCACCTTTCTCTGTGGCTCCATCTGGAATCCCCAGCATTTACTTGGTCTCTGGTTTGTTCTCCCTCTCCCACCATCCTTGAGCTGGGTGCCAGGGAGAAAGTCCTGACTGTTTTGTTCCTTCTCTGCCTTTTGCTTTGCCTCTTTAATTTCTCTGTGGCATTTAATTTTCTTGTCAGTTCATTCCCAGTTCCTATTGATCTCCTCTTTTTTTCTTTCTTCCTGAAGTTGTTATTCTCCTGTGTCTGGATTCCAAGTCTCCAGGAAGCAGAGTTGTTGCTGCTCACCGCTCCACCATTTTTCCAAAGAATCCCAATTGATTATTTTTAGAAGATTCTGTAATTTACCCTGAAGTCTCTATGGAAAAGCAGAGTCGAAGGCACACAAACCTTATCTAGAGTTAGGAGATCCGGTGCCGGGTATCCATTGAGTGAAGAGGAATTGTCTTGGTCACATATAAAACATATAGTATACTCAATGTGTTTGAGTTCTATAACTTCTTTCATTTTAAAATATTTTGTATTATAACATTTTTTTTAAAAAGGATGGTAAGTGGCCCATGAGTCTTAGGTTGGAAAAGCCTGCAAGAGACTTTTATAGATGCACAGGTCATATTTAGACTTCAGTAATACTGAAAATAGCACACATATCAGTACTTGTAGGATGCGGTAGAGTGGTGCTTAGAGACAATGACATATTTCTTCATATTTGTAACAAAAAAGATAGAAGCAGTTTATCCATCAATAGTATAATGGAAGAAAAAAAATTATATTACACACTGAAAGAAAACTATATCAGAGAGCACTTATACAAAGAAAAAAATCTGCAAAATGATATTGTTTGTGGATGTATGTACATGTAGTTACATAAAATATGCATGGAAATAATAAGCCACAAATTAAGGGCAAAGAAGGGGCTTTAGCCATATCTTTAGCATTATATTTCTTTATATAAAAAGAAAATTACACTAAATATCTGGTCAGTTGATGAAATTATTCATTTCTTATAGGTGTCTTCCAGTCGACCAGACCTTTCTGGCTTTGATGATGATGATAAGGTGTGTATCTGTGGGCATGCCTAGGTTATCAATAGACTCTGGGTTCTTTTTGTTTTGTTTTTTTTTTTTGGTACCAGGGATCAAACTCAACCTTCACACTTGCGGGGCAGGTGGCAGAACCACTGAGCTAAATCTCTGGCCCCTGCTCTGAGTTCTTGAGAACATAACCTGTGCTTATACTTTTTGATTATGTCTTCAAGAAGTTCACAATCTAGTCCCTAGAGTGAGTTAACTCCTAAGAAGTTGACATAAGCTGAAATGGCCACATAGTAGTGTTCTCTCCTAACTACACCAATACCTTATGCCTTTTGAAACTTAAATCTCAGGTAACACACCCCCTAGTCTTCCTGGGACCGTCCCAGTTTGTGCTGCTGTCCAGGCAAAATTAAGAATGGGACCTTTTCACTCTGGTAAAAATGTTTCTGCTTAGTTTTTACCCAGTTACCTTAGATATGTGCAAAATTGATAAAGTAGTTGCCTCTGGGGAAGGAGGAAGATGAATCAGACCACATAGGGGCTGAAAAGTGCACTTCACTGTTTTTGTAATAATTTTATTAAGTCTTATTCACTCTAAGCTTACCTTGGGTATGACAGTACTTGTTAGTATTTAGCACTCATATAGGCCTGAAATATTTCATAAGTAAAGAAAGAACATATACTGCCATTGAAAAGTAGAAGAAACTCAAATCTGGGCTGCTTTCCTCACTTTCAAGTGACTTAGTGACAGTTGACCCATATTCTTGTCTTGTAGAGTTGGCCAGAGAACCAGTTAGACTCGTCTGATTACAGCTCCAGTTACCAAGATGTAGCATGTTATGGAACTTTGCCCAGGGATTCACCTCGAAGAAGCAAAGAAGGTAGTGCTGAGATTGTTTTGGAGTGGTATTTCTTTGTAATTATACATAGGAATAGCATGAAGAGTCTTTCATGTTTATAGCATAATGAGATATGAAGATGAAATTCCAGTTAGCTATATGATCCAGAACACTTTTTGTGAGCAAAATATATCATGTTCACTTACTGGATTTTTTTTTTTTTTGGGCTTTGTACTTAACGTATCACAAATAATAATTATAGTATGCTTTTAATGTACTACTTCTGATTTTCCAAGTCACTTTTTTGTATATCAGGTTCTGAGTTTGAGGTCAATTTTGAGGTGCATATAAATCTTACTATATTACTCTGTACCAAAAGACTATCCACCTATGGTATGTTTTTCTACTCAAAAGAATTTTTAGCCGGGTGTGGTGGCACATGCCTGTGATCCCAGAACTGAGGAGGCTGAGGCAGGAGGATTGCTGTGAGTTCAAGACCAGCCTGGGCTACATAGTGAGTTCCAGGTCAGCCTCAACTACATAGTGAGACCCTGTCTCAATCCCTTTTAAAAAAAAAAAAAAAAAAAAAAAAAAAAAGGAATTTTTAACAGAACATTAATCATTTTTAAAGCAGGTAAAAAATGATAACAGAACAGCATTCTCCAGAAATGTAAATTAGCTCTATTACCTTATACTTTATATTTTTACCAACTGAGTGCTTTTGTACTAGGAATTGGGAAGAAAATGGGGGAAAGAGGACAAGTAAAGTAAGAAATGAGAATAAGTGAGAAAGAATTCTTTCCTTAGTCCCTTAGAGCCAGGTGATCTGAGGGAAAAAGACACTGACAAGAAAGTGTATACAAAATTCATTCATTGAGTATACATTCTGAGCTCACTTTACTATCTTAAAATATAACCATGAAAATAAGATATACAGAAACTAAAACAATGAATGATGAAGTGCCAAAATGCATGTACCAAATGATAGAGGCTCTGAGAATTTGGAGATGGAAAATAAGCAGGAGCTGAAGTTGGTTGCTTATGCTTATGCTAGATTTTGAAGAGAGGGTAAAAGTCATCCTTTCTGATTTCTTTTACACTTTTAGTAACTCTCTGGCATTCTAAATCTATCTCTATGCTTGCCCAGATTGGTTTTACTGCTTATCCAAATGCTACCATATGAATTTCATTGTGATGCCAGATATTCCTGTGGCCAGGTCACTGCCCTGCTTCCTGTGCCCCTGAAAGCACTCCGTGCCTATAAATTCAAGCCTTTTTATCTTCCTCAGGTTGTTCATCGGAGACTCCTCATGCCTTAACAGTCAGCCCTTTTAAAGCATTCTCTCCTCAGCCACCAAAGTTTTTCAAACCTCTCATGCCTGTAAAGGAGGAGTATAAAAGAAGGATAGCTCTTGAAGCAAGACCACTTCTCAGCCAAGAGGTAAATGTTTGATTGTCTGCACTCTGCAAAACAGATAGGAACCATGCTGTCTGTGGAGAGTGGAAGTTTGCATTCTCAAATCAGATGCTACATGTAGACATGCATGAGTTATCACTCCACAGATCCAGCCCTTGGATACCTCTTTCTCAAGCATGTGGGGCCAGGGCCAGATTTTTTTAAATTGTTATTGTGCTTTTGCTACCTTGTCTTGATGGCTTTTTAGACTATTTTTTTGTCTTTCAAGTGAGAAAGAGATGTCTCCTAGGTATTTTGAAGATATTAAAGGCTTTTATTTATTCATTTTTTTGGATCAAACTAATTATGCTTTTTGCCACAGAACCTGTGTAGTCCTGTCAGATTTCACCAGTAGTTTAATTCTGGCCTGCAAAATTGGTGCTGTGTTACTCACATGTAGTAAAATGTTGGCATTGCCTTTCTAACGTGCATGTACTGACTGTATATCTCGGCTGTCGTCGTCTTTGTGTGTGATGCATCTGTGTGTCTTAACCTTTGCAGAGCATGCCTCCATCTCAGGCACATAACCCTGGCTGTACTGTCCCCTCAGGAAGCAAAGGCAGCAGCCTGCCAGTAGAGCACAATAGCAAACGTGAGAAGAAGATTGTAAGTTCTGGAACCATTTCTGTCATATTGCCTGGTGGTGGGTTTAAAGCCCTGTCACAGACTGTCTTCCAAATGCGTTAGAAGAAATAAAGACATGTTATTTAGTCTTTGCTTTAGGAAAAAAGAAAGTGACCATTGGTGATGAAATTTTGCATGAACATGGCCATGACCTATGGTTTTTCTAAGTGTTTATTGTATTTATTTTTGCTTTCATGTAAGTTTGCTTAGGAAAAAAAAAATACAGAAAGGACATCTTTGATGATTCTAGTCTTTACTTTTTTAAAAAAAATAACAGATCACTTGAACTAATACTGAAATCTTTCTAATGTGCCTATACATATTGTCCAGATTCTGAAGTTAATCTACCTAGAGGAATTGCACTTACTTGGAGTAAGTAAACATGCATTTAGCTGTGGGTATGTTTGAAAGCTTTTTTATGTTGCCTGATGCTACTGCCAAGATAATTCTATAGATGGTAGCTGTACTACAGTTCTGCATCACCCATCAACATCATCCTCATCACCATCATCATCTCTCCAGCTCAGGGAGCCTTTGTTAATTTGCTCGCAAAGTATATTCAAGTCCCTGGTCTCAGCCTTGCTTTCAGAATGACTTATCTGTGTTTTACCAAAGGTAGATTGAAACTCTGCCTGCAAAATCTCATTCCCAGGCCCTTGGTTTATAAGTGACATCTATGAGATAAATTCTTTATGCCAGGCACTTCAGATTATAAATTATACCTCAAACAAAGTTGTTTGAAAACCTGTATATTCTCAAGCCTGGAAAAGTTCTCTAATTTTGGGCTCCAGCTGTCATTCTCCTGTAGTTTCCTAGGTTTGGAAAGTATAAAGCCAGCCTGGGGCCAGCGGAAGCTGCTTGATGTTTATGGCTGCATATAACCTGCTATATGGGCCAGAATGTGAGGAGTCCCATTTCCTAGCTATACTGTATCAGATCCACTGCAAAGGCTTGTTAGTCTAGGATCCTTCAATGGATCCAGAATACACTGCTAATTCATATACTGTGTGAAAACTAACTGCAGCTTTAATGCAGATGTGCAGTTGGCCACTCACCTGCATGCCTGGGCGCTAGTGGATCATAGAAAACACCTCCTCCTTCCTAATGTGAGGAAAGAAAAGGCACCTTTCCCCTTCATATCTACGTCCCTCTCCCTGTTTCTGCTTCTAGGTTCTGCCTGTCTCTCTGTCCCAGGGCTGCTGTCCTAATTCCCAGAGGAGAGTGTACTCCTACATTTGCCTGGTCATCTCTATGATCTTCATGAGCTATTTGTTCCCTCCCCCTGCCCAGTTATTATTAAGCTGCAGCGTGGGCTAAGAGGGAAGAATGGCTGTGCTGTTACTCCTCAGGTCCTCTGGCTCTGCATCTGATTGGATCTCTTTATTGATGTAGCTCTTATCACTGGGGTGCATAGGGCCAGGATTTAAATCTGTTGTACCAATCCATTTTGGTAGCCTCACAGTTCACACAGCTTGTCCCATAAGTTGTTTTCTTCACTGTCTTTTAAATATCACAAAATAAAACCTCTACAAGACGAATGTAATTATTATGGGTCACAGATACATACTGATAAAGAAAAGGGACATAAAACATGTCTCGGGTAGTGCAGTATAGCATCAAGCTATCTTCCCTTGACCGAAGCAGTCCCAAGCAGTAGTTAAGCTCTATGACTGAATGCACCATGAGGTGGTGTTGGATGGTATTGTTGGTCTTTTTTGTGGTCGTTTTGAGAGAGCTGCCTTTATTCTCCTTAGAGAAATGGCTTGCTGAACACTCTTCAGCTCTGAGGGTATTGCACTGTTCAGTTTATTCCAAATAATGGTTTCCCCAGACGTTTTGGTAGAGTTTAAGTACATTTCTTATCTAACCTATGGCTTTAATTTCTCTTTGGGAAGTTTCAATTTTATTTCCCCTCATAGATGGGTATAAACCGTTTCCTTCCTTTGATTCTAATTCACTTTCTTTTCTCTTCCACTCTTAAAAACATCACAAGTTCAGACTGATAGAGGGCATTTGCAGTTATTGTTGAAAAGTAATATCAAGACACTGTGTCTGTTATTTTTTTAACCCATCCAATTGCCATAGTAACTTCTGATAAAATACAGTAAATGTAATTACACTGACTCTTAAAGCTATATTTTGTCCTCTGGTCAGTTTGGGAAGATATATACAGATGTGCTTCCTGACTCATATAAGTAAAATAAAGGCAATGATGTACCTTTGCATTTTATCTTTTTAAGTCATGAAGCAAAAAGACTAGCAGAAATAAAGTCAGCCGTTTCCTCCAGTATCCTCTGCAATTTTATAGAGATAGCATATGGTTTATTCTTCCTGTTTCACAGAAGAAACAAAGGTCTAGGATTATTGAGTGACCTGGCCAAGGTCTACAATTAATAAGAATGTAAGAACAAAGAGCCCTTTCCTTCAGCAGAGTGGGGCTGACTCAGGTGACCCCAGGTGCTTCCATAGCTAGTGCTGAAGCCTCTGCTCCCTGCCTTTAGTACCATGGACAGCAGTTCCCGGAGCTCCTGGCCGGTACAACTCTGGTGGCCCACACAGACCTGGTTATAGTGGGAGTGGAAACTGCATTAATCATGTGAAACTCTGCAAAGCGTCACTGCTTTAACATGGGTTTTGGTCCCTTTTTAAAATCAAGGTGTTTTGTCTGTAGGTCAATATCAGCTGCATAAGTTAAATCGCAAAAATCAAATCATGAAGACTGTAGCTATAGAGACGCTTGAGAACTTGACTTCATGCTCCACTTTTAGGTAGGGGTTTAATTCTTTTTGTCCTTAAGATATCGTAGGAAGGTGCTTAGTCTCCCTTAAGATACTTTGATAAATGATGCTTCTGGTATAGAAATTGTCTAACCAAACTCCTTCAAAACAGATTTTAAGTCTACAAGGTCCACTCTTTTATCCTTGGAGATAATAATTCGGTAAATTTCCGGTGTCTGTTTGAATGTCAGAAAATGTGTAGTCTTTACTCAGTTTCCCTTTCTCTGGAAGAAGTTGTCCCTATCCCTTTATCCTTTTCCTTTGGGTCCCTAGGACATTTCCCCCTCTCTAAGTGCATAATTGTGTAGTGCTTCCTACCTAAACTTAGTCTCTTAAGAGTTTTGTGCACTCTTCAGTTTTAACGAAGATCATCCTAATCCTTTAGGAATAATTCTTTATCTTGGTGAGTTGATAAATTTATATTTCTTTCTACTCATTAAGTTCATGATTACATATTTCATTCATCAAAATTGCATCTTAGGATAAAAGGCCTTTCCTCAGACTTGAAAAGAAATAACTTTCATCTGTCAAAGGGCCCAGATAATGAATTCTCATCTATATATTTTTCTTTGCAAAAATACTTTTTTAGTCATTAATTGTGTCAGGTACTATAGGCTTGGAGAACTGTTACTTTGGCAGCTTAAATCAAAAGGAAGTACAAACAGTGCAAACATTTGAAATTTAATTTTTAATCTAAACATGTTGAGTAGAGAACTTAGAAAATATAGGCAAAGCCTACGGATTCAGACTGTTCTGTCCAGTGTTTTTCCTCTACCAACATTCCCCTTCAACACACACAAAAACAACAGCCCCTCCCACTCACTTCTTCCTTAACATTTTACTTAATTTAGAAGACAGCTAAGCTAAATTAAACTAAAGATGGATGAGATTAGTGTCAGATATTTTGTTTTGCTAATTTTAGGAACTTTATCACTGCTACTTTACATTCATATTTTTAATATCCAGGAAATTAAGTCTTCTGATTCTTTTAATAGATACTTCTAAAATTTTGTGACCTTGGGGATTGCATCCAGGGCCTTCCACGTGCTAAATGTATGCTCTACCACTGAACTGCAACCATAGCCCTCAGATATATTTTTAAAACTATTATCAAAACTAAATGCAGACTGGGGATACAGATCAGTGGTGGAATTCTTGCCTAGCATCTATTGAGCTCCTGGATTTGATCCCCAGAACCACAAAAAGTAAAACTTTTTTTTTTTTGCAACAGTATCAGAGATTGAACCCAGGACCTTCACACTGAGCTGTATCCCCAGCCTTCCTTTTTTCCCCTTCCAGAGTGCCAGAATTACAAGTGTGCACCACCATGCCATGACTGGCTTATAAATTATCTTTTAAAGTAAGAGGCATTGAAGAATATTAAATTATTTTTTAGGTGCATAGCATCTTATAAAATGAAAAAGAAAATATAGCCGGCCGTGGTGGCGCACACCTATCATCCCAGGACTCGGGAGGCCGAGGCAGGAGAATCACAGAGTTTGCTGCCAGCCTGGTCTACATAGGGAGTTTAAGGCCAGCCTGAACTACAAAGTGAGACCCTATCTCAAGGAAAAAAAAAGTTACTGTAAAAGTCAACAGATGAAATTTATATTCATTTGTTTACAACCATCTGCCACACTGGGGATCTTGTCTTTTTCATATGCACATGCACATGCACGGTCCTCCCCGCTCCCCTGTGGGATCGGAGATCCAAGGTTTTACAGTCACCGCATTGTTACCATTGTACAGACATTTTAAATGGCTTGTTAAACCAGATGCCAGAGGAGAAAGCTATATTTGGTGTATCTAGGTGCTACTCTGAATGAGATTTTTACCCAAGCAGAGTTCAGAATGGTTCTAAAAGCAACCCCTCCTGAGGGAGGCACTGTATCTCTTTTCTCTCACATTCCCGGTTCCTCAGGACAATTGCAGACACATGGTGGGTGCATGATAATATTTCCATGAATGAAAGTCACTTTTTAACCACTTACAACCCAAATATTTAAATACAGCTGACCAAAAATTGCATTTTTAATTAATTTCTATAAGATTATATAATAGGAAATATAAAAATGACAATTTTATCAAATTTATTCAAGAATCAACTAGTTGAAGTGACAACTGTCCAAGTGATGCTTGGGGCAGTCAGTACAGAAACAAATGGGCTGGGGACTTAGCTCAGTGTTTCTACTGCCTGCATTGCAAGTGCAACGACCTGAGTTCGATCTCTGGTACCAGGGAAAAAAACAAAAAAACACAGAAACAAACATGCTGCCCAAGTGACCCTCAAGAAAATTGTTTTGTGGTTAAAAGTAATATTTGTAAGGCCACCAGGTATTTATGAGGTCAATTAAAAGGGACTAGGTAGTACATCACATCTGTATCTGAACATAAAATACCCAAATATTTTGTATTTTCCACCAAATTTTTTTAAATCTTCTATTTGGAGAGATACTGCAGTGTTAATCATTCTCACTTTGGTATATTTACCCATTTTTGTAATCAAAGTTATAGTGCAAATTTTTATTTAAACCTTATTATCAGCCTTTCTTATTTTCTAAACAAATCCTCTTCTTAAAAACCCTAGAATGGCGGCGATGCACCTACCTGGCAAGCACAAGGTCCTGAGTTCGATCCCCATTATAAGACAAAACAAAACAAACAAACAAAAAACCTAGAAAGCGGTAGTTGATTGTTAGCATTTTACAGTATTGCAATACTTAGAATACTAAGAATGAGTGTCCAAATTGTATACTTTGTCCTTTGGCTGTGGGAGGTCTCTTTTTCTCCCCTTTCCCCAGATAAAACAGCTCAGAACTTCTTTGTAAGTGACTTCACCTCTTGCACTTGCCTTCCCAAAGGGGAGATTTCAAGACCACAGGAAGGACCGGTTCTTCTGCCTCCAGCTCTCTACTCATTTAGTGAAAATAAGGAAACAGACCAATTTTGAGAAACCCATTAAAAGTCCACTCTACTTCAGTTCCATTCCTTTTCTTAAACCAGGGAAGAAAGTCTTTAATTAGCATTGAGTGAGTGTGGAAGGAAAAATATACATTCATATTACATGATAATGGGTTTATATTCACAGGTCTCTTAGAATAATGTTCTTGTGTCTACAATTGGTGACAAGATTTGACTAAATATCTTTTTTGATGGGAAAGAAGGAAAAAAAATGCAGAAATGTGAATGCCTGTCATAGTAAAGTATTTAAATCTTATTTCAGTCATACAGTTGCTCTAAGAAGTTAATGACTGACTTTTGTTTTATTTCTGTAGGACTCAGAGGAGGAGGAAAATGAGCTGGAAGCTATTAACCGGAAGCTGCTAAATTCACAGCCTTATATACCTGAGGAGTTTGCGGACTTCAGTGTTTACAATGCCAGCTTGGAGAACAGGGAATGGTTTTCTTCTAAAGTAGATCTGACAAACTCACATGTCATGGAGAAAGAAGTGTCTCGTAGCCCTACCACCAGCAGTATTACCAGTGGCTACTTTTCCCACAGTGCCTCCAATGCCACTCTGTCAGACATGGTGGTCCCTACTAGTGACAGCTCAGATCAGCTAGCCACTCAGACAAAGGACACAGACTCCAGCGAACATTCTGGACCACCACTTGTGCATGATTTCAGACCATCCTCAAACAGAGAGTTGACAGAAGTAGACAGAGGCTTGGGAAAAGATAAGATAATCATGGTGCCATTCAAGGAAAACAGTGCCTTAGCCAAAGGGAGCCCATCATCCCAGAGTATCCCTGAGAAGAATTCCAAAATGCTCTGTAGGACAGCTTTATGCTCAGAACTGGAGGCCTGCCCCAGCAAAAATGGCCAGCCAGCCCGAGAATTCAGTCCGAGGGAGGTGACCATAGAGCGTACCACCAACATCCTTGAGGATCATTCCTTCACAGAGTTCATGGGCGTATCTGATGGAAAAGATTTTGATGGCTTGACAGATTCTTCTGCTGGAGAGCCTTCGAGTAGGAGAAACCTACCAAATAGAACAGACAATAGGAGTGTTCCAGGCAGACCACAGGACACTGATGAGCTGCATTCCAAGTTAAAGAATGACCAGGTAATAAATTCCAGAGGCAGCACTTTGAGCTCTGTGCCATCTGTGAGCATATCTAATTGTACACCAACCCCTAGAGGCCCTCCAGAGCCATGACTTAGGAGGAAATATTCATCTTGCTGTTTCTTATAGAGAGGATGGGCCCACCGGGGAGCAAACTCACCGCTGTCCAGCTTGCTCACTGTGGGAGGGCAGATCTGTGGCAGCCTGAGTGAAACCATGAAATCTGTAGAACCAGTGGAATTTCTTTTCTCACAATGTTGGGGATTAAACCCAGAGCCTCACACATGCTAGGCAAGCACTCTGTCACTGAACTGTGGCTACCTAAGGATCAGTGGGCTTTTTGATTGGTATATGGGTTGGTAAAGAGTTAAGCATTCAAATGGATAAACTCGTAGTTATTCCCGGAGATGTTTATTGGCTATCACAAAGTAATCTAGTAGCAGCTACCATATTTCTGCAGTCCCTTGGATTATTATATACTTCATTATTTTATGTATCATTAAGAAAGAAAAAACACTGACCTAAGGTGTAGCTCAGCATGAGAATATTGCATACATACTTTAAAATCTGGGGCTGGGGATTTGGCTCAGTGGTTCTGCTGTCTGCTTGCAAGCCCAAGGTCATGAGTTCTATCCCCTGTACCAAAAAAAAAAAAATCTGGTTCCATCCCTAGCACTGCAAAAAAATTCTATCAGCAGTTGTAAGACACCTCACTTTCAAGGGTTTTAAAGTGTGAGAAGAAAAAAACATAAGCAATGTAGAATTAATAAGATAGCGTAATTTGATACACAAAGTGAAAACTGCTTTGTAAGATGGTGTAGACAAATTTCCTAAGGTTTGGGCCTTGAATGCTGCCCAGCATGGTTTATATTACTGTTTAATTTTGCTGTTGGACAAAACAGGCTTTTGCTAAGGAAAAATAATGAACTGCATAACTAAGAGATTATCAGCCTTTAGAAGTATTCCATTCCTAAGTACCACCGTTTCTTCCCATTCACATTTACTTACTTGGTTCCACCTTGTGTAGGTCGCAGGAGAGCCATGGCTTAGAAAGGCAAAGAGCTGACCAAACCAGCCAGAAGCTTGATAAGGACAGATAACTGGGGTACAATTCACCCCCTCTGTTTTTCTGAGGAAGTTATTGGGTGGGAGAATTTTCTTTCTATATTTTCCATATCAGCCCTTAAAAAGGATTTCTTTCCCCAATATAAGAGAAATAGGCAGGGCCAGGGATTTAGCTCAGTGGTTCCTCCACCTGCCTCACAAGGCAAGGTCCTGAGTTCGATCCCTGGTACCCCCCGCCAAAAAGGAGTCAGGTGTGATAGCACAGGCCTGTCATCCCAACACTGTGGCAAGAGGATCACAAGTTGGAGCCCAGCCTGAGCAACTTAGTGAGACCTTGTCTCAAAAAATAAAATAAAATAAAATTATAATAATGATGGTGGGCTGAGGGATATATCAGTGTTAGACCACCCCTAGGTTTGATCCCCAGTATAGGTAGGGGTGGTTCTGGGAAGGAAGTGCTGTGTTGAAGCAAATGTTCAGCATATGCAAGACCCTGAGTTTGATCAATGGTACCACAGAAAGAAGGAAAGAAAAAAGGAACAAATCACTCATTACTTTGTTTACCTTTGTTCTTGCAGGCTAAACATAAATTGTGTGAAAGTCTTCCATTTCTTTTACACTGATTTTGAAGCTTTCCATAGGCAGCATGCTTGGCTTTTTGGTTGAAAAAGCAAAGTCGACTGGGCATGGTAGTGCACACCTATAGTTACAGCTCTCAGGAGCCTGAGGCAGGAGGATCGCTAAGAGTTCGAGGCCAGCCCCGGCCACATCGTGAGTTCAGGCCAGCCTGAACTACATTGGAGACCCTGTCTCAAAAAAACCAAATTAAAACAAAGCAAAAAAAAAAAGTGGAATCTGCAGAAAGGTTTGTTGCATCAGATAATAGAATTATGGAGATTTTCTTTTTGTTATACTGGTTTTCTGCTGTGGTTGTTTCATTGTTGTTTGTGGTGCTGGGAATCAAACCCAGCACCTCTCACATACTAGGCAAGTAAATGCTCAACCACTGAGTTACGCCCCCGGCCTCTGCACTGGTTTTCATAAGTTGTTTTGACAGCTTTAAAGTCTAGTTTAGAACTTTGCACATACTAAAATTAGACTTTAGTTGTAAGCCTGAAATGACTTGGAACATGGCTCCAGAAAGAACTTTTATTTAAACTTTAACTTTGGATCATACCGTCACTCTTTACCTAGGAGCCTTACCTCAGGGCTGGGTTTCTCCCTTGCATGCTGTGAATTCCGCAACCAGACTCCATAATAAATGCAGGCCCAAAAGTCCTTCAGGCTGGTCTGGGGGAGTGGAGGTGGTAACGGGGCCTGGGATGCCTGGCCCGGGAGCCCAGACTCACCAGCCTCTTGCTTTCCAGGGAGGCACAGACTCGAGGTGAAAAGTAGCAGGCACCTGCTCTGCTGGCCCCAACGCGGCAGTTTTGTTCACCTGGTCACCGCGTGGGAGACACTGGCCCCATCAGCACTGCCACATGCTGCAGCTCAGCCAGACCGCAGCGGAGCACAGAGAGCCAGACACTTTCTCCTGCCTAGCAGGGGAAGCAGCACTTTGTCACTCGGATGAATCACAGCTTCTGCTTCTTTCCAGAAAGCAAGAGAACTGAAATCTTGGATTAACTAAGTGACAGTATTTTCGTTTGCACTTACTACACACCTACATTGTGTAGAAACCTCTACAGATTTCAAACAAACTTTATTCTTGTACAGTTTTAATCAGTTCTTACTGTAGAATCTGGAGTTGATGCTCTAATTTTTTATAAATAATATATATTATGTATATGAAATGTGTATCTTTGGCATGTCTGTTCAGAGACAGACACAGCTGCACACTAAAATGCAGATAAGATGATTTATAGAAAATCATAAGGTACTGGACTTTGTTACAAAGGAACTTGGGCGATCACTTCTATATGAGCAGATGAAAAATATTTTATTGCCCAAGAATGAGGTCACAAATCCCCCTTTATAGAAAGGTTATAGAATGCTGTTCTTTATAACCAAAGAACTTCCTCGAAACTGAACCTCTTTGCTGTCTGCTCTTGTTTTCTGTGAGCACAAATGTTTAACTGCAGGTTTGATGCCAGTACTTCCTTGGCTACCAGGCTACTCACTGCCGTTCTCTGTCCTGTGTCCTAAGCGCACTAAGAAATCTCACAGCTACAGTCTCTGGCCTTCCGCCTGACCCGACGCCTCGTCACAACATTCTATTCTAATGGTGACAAGACTGGGGCTGGCTCAGGCCAGTGTTTCCTATACCTTGGTTCAGCCCAGCCAGGCAGATGGCATGCAGAGAACAGTATTACTCTAAGCAGACATGGGGTACCAGGGGTTGGGGTTGGGTGCTGGGGGATCCTGGGTATGGGGTGTGGGTTTGTTTTGGGTTGGCATCTTTCTCTGCAGTGTGGTTTTGCTGTTGTTGTTTTGCTTGATTCTGAAAAATGCTGAAGAGATGGACCGAACCAGGAAGTTCACCAGTTCACATAGCACCATATTTGCAGGAGATGGTTGAATGCAGAATACCCTGCTGTCGTGTCTTCATTTGTAAAATTCTCCTACAAGTGGAGATGTAGAATCGTGGAAATTTTTACAAAAGTACTTTTATGTACCTATTCTGTAGATGTCTGTATAGTTGGTGTGGATGTAAACTGTAAATGTGTTGTGAAAGGAAGAGTGAGAGAATCTGTACAGCCTGCTGTACCTTTTCTTTAAGTTTTGAGCATCACTAAATGAATGAGATTTTGGAGACTATTGAAAAGCTGCTGTTTATGATTTTTGTGTATAGTGAGTTGACTGTAGTATTTTACTGTCTCTTTAAAAAAAGAAAACTGTAATTTATATCCCTTTTCAACATTATTGTATTTAATTGGTACAGATTTGTGTGTGTGTTTTAGAATACAAACTGTCTAATTCAGATTTTAAAGCATCAATTGTATGTCTTCAATAACTGTGCTGTTTTAGATCCACTTCACCATATTTGCATATATGCATATCCCTATAGCATTAAACAATGTCAGCTAACATTTATTGAGGATTTACCAGGGACTGTTTCAAACATTTGGTATTTGTTATAATTTCATCTGACAACAACAGATGTCATCAGTGCTACTGCTGTTAAGTGCTTGACACATGGGTTACTGATGGAGTTGTGACAGAGAGGGGATCCCAGCTGTCTTCACTTTATCCGGCCTGATGACGTGGCCCAGAGAGGCGGACCACTTGCAGAGAGGGCTGGTGCAGGGAGTCTCACCACTTCCAGGCTGAGCAGCTCTGGGGTGTACGGGGTTGTAGAGCACATAGGACATGGTGTGTTACCCTGTTCCCAACATGCAAACAAATCTTTACAGCACCCAGCAGGCCATTGCTACCTGTGAAATAGTGGCTAAAGATAGCTCACTGTGAAATGTTACCTAAAAACAATGTTACTACAGAATCTCTTCAGAAAAAAGTCTCAGGTGTTCATGGGAGCCTTTCTGAAGTTACCAAGAATTAGATCTAGCCTACTCTGGACAGAAGTGTAACTTAAGTAGACTTGGGGAAAGGGGGTAACATTTAAGCTGAATTTTATAGAACAGGGTCAGGGAGAGGAAAGGAGCTGGTTAATGTTTAAGTAAACAATGATAACTGAAAATACAGTTCAAGACAAAAAGCAGAAAAATTCCTTCTCTTCCTAGTGTAGGATCAGTGGTATACAGACACTGATAGCATCATTTGTTGTGATGACTAAGAGAACTGGCTTTAGGACACATTTTATTAAGTAGGCCAATCTAAGCATATGTTTAACAGTTATTTTTCCAAAGTACAATATTACCAGTCATCACATTTGTTAATAATAGTCATTTGGACACACATTTTATCATAACAAAAATACAGTTTTATGTTTCTATGGTGCTGACTTATGGGAAGAATAACTGTTTATAAAAATGCCTTTAGGGTTGGGCAAGAGCAAGATACTATCTTCTAAATTATACTGCCTCAGCCAACAATTACTTTTCAAATTACAATATTCAAGCTTTAGAACATTGGGAAAAAAAGAGGCAACTAATTACATGATTAAGCTTTTTTCAAAAGTAAAGCATTCCGGTCAAAAGAAGGTATAATTGAATACAAGTTCTTGTTCTCTTCTAAAAACAGTGTGCTGCTAGCGCACAGCATGGGTTCAGCCTTCACCTTTCTCCAGTAACAGCAGCACATGTGTTTTTCTGTAATATGGATCCCAACTTCCAAATTATAAAACAAGAATGCAAAGTTCATGTGTCATATCCAGCACTTTGTCTTGAGTTTCTCCTCTCCCAGAAGAAAGGAAATGTGCAAGTCCGGCAGTTTCCCATGTTCTGGAGGCCATGCAGCCTCCTGCTGGTGAGGAGCCTAGAACCCAGGAGGCTCCCTTGGAAGGGCAGAAGGGAAGAACCTCCCTTTCAGAGTGGGAACCATTGCTGACAGGAGTGAAAGAAAACTCCAAAGTCTAAATTTAACCTGTTTGTCATTGGCCTCTAATCCCCTGAAGGAAGGAAAAAAAGAGAACTATAGATTTGAGCACCACATAATGGTCATTGTGTCTTGGACTGGGTGTGTACAAGAAAAGCTCTGGCACTTGGTCTTCCCAATGTTCTGAGACAACATGGCTGCCTCAGTCAGGCTCAGTCAAATCACGGCTGCCAGCATCTGTGATTACGCTCCTCACTCAGAAAACTAGCTCAGGAAGATACCTGCGGTGTCTTGCTCACTGTCATCTGAGCCCACCTGGCCACAGCCAGTGGCAGATTTTCTGAGCTTGTCAGATTTTCTCAGCACCCTGGGAAAGAAACCTGTGCATCCTTCAGGGACCCTATGCATGAACACACCAGATGCTGATTAATACAACAGTGAGTGTTGTATGCAGAAACAGGTAAGTTTTTAAACTGGAGACTCGTGGAGAAAAGATCAGCTTAGAGAAAATCGGTCCATTTTGGTTTTGGCATAGTGTGAAGCCACTTGACCCTTTCACGGTATCTAAAATGCCTTGCATTAGTTAATTCTAAAACTGGAAAACAGTTCTTATAATGGCTGTGAGCAGCTATTTTGGGCCTTCATCTCAGTGTGTCTAAGTCGAACCATGGAGATATTGTTAAGTTTGTTACTGTTTGTCTTTTTCTAGATCAGCACATTTCGGGATATCACAGCACAGTGGACTACTTTTCCAGAGATTTTTTTAGTCAAAGAAAAACATCTGCTTTAAGAACCACACTTTTGTGTGATTAATCACTCTGGATTAATCTGCATAATATGCCTAGTATGTGGTGAACTGCAAATAAACCAAGCCTACTTACAAACATTAGAGGTAAAATACCTAGCTGTGACAAGTGCCAGGAAGAAAAAAAATCACCAAGATTAAGAACATATTATCTAACCTCGATAAAACTTTTACTCAGGGCTGTTTTACATGGGGTTGCTAATTTACCCGTATTTTTTATGCTAGTCATTCTATATGCAATAGTATATTTTTATAAGAAAGACAGTGTTGGTTTTCTATTGCTGCACAAAGGATTACTCTTAGCAGTTTAAAACAGCAGTAAATTTATCATTTTACACTTTTTCAGTACTGAGGATTGAACGCAGAGCCTTTCTATTGACCTATATCCCCAGCCCTTTTTTGTATTTTATTTTGGGACAAGGTCTCACTAAGTCACCAAGTTGCCCAAGATAGGCTTGAACTTGCAATCCTCCTGCCAGCACCAGCCACCAAATCTAGCCAACTTCACACCATTCCTATGGGTCCAAAACTCAAGTGTAGGTAAGAATAGTTTTGGCTCCAATCTGTAATAAGATGTAGGTCAGTATCAGCCAGAGTTGTGGCTGGCTGGACATGGAGGCTCCACTTTTAGGATGTTTGTCTACACAGCTGGCAAACTGATGCTTTGGCCAACTGGCTTTCCTAGAGTGAATGGTTCAAGAAATGCAGCCACATGCTGGGTGTGGTGGTTCACGCCTGTAATCCCAGGCCTCAGGAACCTGAGGCAGGAGGATCACTGAGTATGAGACCAGCCTGGGCTACTTAGTGAATTAAGGTCAGCCTGAACTTCCTAACCCTGTCTTTAAAAAAAAAAGGGGGGGCTGGGGATTTAGCTCAGTGGTTGTGCCACCTCTCTCACAAGCACAAGGTCCCAAGTTTGATCCCCTGTACCAAAAAAAAAAAATTATAGCCAAAAAAAAAGAAGCCACAGTGCCTCTTATGACCTCATCTCAGAAGTCTCACTGCATGCATTACACTTTAGAGGGGAAATCCTGAAGTCAGTTTCCCACAGAGGAGAAGAAGAATTGGACTCTTCCTTTGGAGAAGAGGACTGTAAAATGATGTGTAGACATACTTTAAATCCCCAATAGTTAGAAGTTATATAGCTGAAGCCATAGAACAAAGCAAAGCTAACTGGAACCTATAAATGAATATAAAACTCCAACTCAACCTCATTTTTTAAATTCATAAACAGGGTGAGAGAGCCATATTTGATGGAAAAATTAGCATATCAAGATAGTCCACAAGGCATAATGCCAATTTTGTCATGATGGCACAGAAATGTGGCTGCATAATACCCATGTATGTTCTTTAGAAAATTTCTATTGATGGATTATTTTATGAGTTTTATTATATTAAACAAGTAGTTTAAAAACTATTGAGTTTTTAATATTTGTTGACTATTTATTAAAAAGCATCAAAATTTTCAACATCAACTTTTTTGGTGTACAAAGTCTAAAGAACAAATAAATTCCTATATGAACTGCAGTGAAAATACCAATAGCACTCTACAACAAAAATAATCTTCCGTCTAACACTCTCCCAAATGAGCTATTTCAGCAGCTCAACAAATATAATCTTTACTTCAATTATCACACCTAAGGCAGGCTTTACACATGACAACAGTGTGTTCCATATGCATATATCATTTACACTGAAAGCACATGTGTTTTGCTTTCCTGGCCTTTTTGTAGGACATGCTTGACATCTTGCTGGTGTTGCTATTTTGTTGCTATATATTATACAATGGGTAGTTAACCGTAATATAAAATATCAATAAAATAAGTTACATTATTATGTGCATTTAGAATAAACATAAACATTTTCACAACAGCTGTGTACTTTCTTATAAAACCTAAAAGATAACAGCAGAAATTCCTGTATCAACTAAAATGAAAATATCAATAGTGTTCTACAATAAAAAACAATCTTTTCTTCAGTTGTCCCAATCAAGGCAATCTTCACAAATGACAACATGCACACATCTTGCTTACACTGATAGCACATGTTCTTAGCTTTCCTTTCCTATATGGCAGGACATTCTTGTTATCTCCCTGTCTGTCAGGAGTTTCCTACCATATTGTATAATGTGCACTTTAGCAGGAAAATAAGATCAATATATAAAATATCAAGTACGTAATGAGTGCTTAGAATAGACATCAACATTTTCATTCCAGTTGTTTACTTGCTTACAAAATCTAAAAGATAATATCAGAAATATAAACCTATGTGGACTACAATGTAAATACAAACAAATGTCTACCACAGAAATAATCTTTGCTTCAACTATTACAATCAGTGGACCGGGGGATTTAGCTCAGTGGTTCCGCTGCCTGCCTCACAAGCACAAGGTCCCAAGTTCGAACCCCTGCGGGGGGGGGGGGGTCTACAACACTCAAGACAGTCTTTGCACATGTAAACTGTTCCATAAAAAGTATCACACTGATGACACCTATGCTTTGTTTTCCTGTCCTTTCTTGTAGTGCACAGTTGACACATTTTTGGTTTTCCTGTTGTAGTAGGTCTTTGTGATCCTGCACCTGCCTCTTCACCTATCAGCTCAAAAGCGTGCTCCACAATCTTTTTTTTTTTTTTTTTAGTTCCCTGGGCAGAAACATTTTGCTTTTCCTCTGCTGGAAATGATCTCTTATGAGTTCCAGTTCCAATCCTCTAAGAAAATTCTTGGCTGATATTTTATACTTGTTATTTTCTTTGTAAACTATCAAACTATTTATGCCACATATTTTAGGATGGAGTGAAAAATAACCATTGGCCAAGGCAGGAGTGGTGCACGCCTGTAATCCCAGCACTCGGGGAGGCTGAGGCAGGAGAATCACTGTGAGTTCGAGACCAGCCTGGGCTACATAGTGAGTTCCAGGTCATTCTCATCTACATAGTGAGACCCTGGCTCAAAACAAACAAACAAGCAAACAAACATAGGCCAATGCTTTGTGTTTCAAGTGACATCATAGTTGCTGCATAACTCATCAACATCATTACTCTGCCTTTGGTTTTGTTATGGAGTTTCCATTTCAGGCTTCTTTTTGTCAAAGTTTCCTTGTCATTTCCATCATAGTGCAATGTTGACATCAGCAGTACCAATTTATTTTTCTTTGCCATATCTAAGGCCAATGTAAATCTTTCTGAAATCCAAAGATTGCACTATATCCAATTCTCCATTTTGAAATTGCAGCATTTCCCTTGGAATTTCTCCTTTGTTCCTGCATACAGTTCCTATGCTGGTCAATTGTTAGCAAATGCAATGTCAATTGGAAACTGACTTGTAAGCCAATTGTTTTTTGTTTTGTTTTTTTGTTTTTGGTACTGGGGATCGAACTTGGGACC